ATTAAGAAATTAAAGCAGTTCATCATATTAATGAATCATGATATCATTTGAATTCACGAGTTTCCCAAATGCCCCTTTGAATTTGTTTACCTCTAGAATAATTTTGCTTTAGCGAGCTATCTCAAGTAATAAGTATTTTTAATAACTAAAAAAACTGGCAAATTATTCATTAAATGGAACTTCGAATTAAGCAAGAAACATCGACGACAAGAAAAAAGAGCTTTGGGAAAGGTTTTAGAGACCTAATTCTGATCAATAACACTTGTTTTAGAGACCTATACAAGTGAAAGATTTTTCCTTTGATCGTATGAGGGAGAGTCGGTTTGAAATCCTTGATTAGACCATTTTCTTTTGACACATGAGTTTCATGTTTCTTATTTTCTCCAATATTCAATAGGAAACAAAGAGAGACACGGAAAGCAGAATATAACCTCATGCATTATTGTCACGGATAAGTGTTGACCGAAAAAAAAGAACTAACTACACTGTTTTACTTTGGTTGTTTCCCTCGTGTCTGTGTTAATAGCCAATACTACGTTTTATTCTTATTTGTTCTAATTTACTTTTGTGTTGGTTTGTGTAATTTCAATTTTGATTAATGGAATCCAGCAATTTCCAACAGGTGCAAGGTTGCAGAGGCTTCTTTATGGTGTCTAAAGTAGGGCTACTCATCCATCGTCACAAGCTTATGTGCAAAACTTAGGCAAGCATAGCATGATGGATTGAAGTTCTTGAACTGCACCACCACTAGGCCCACCTGCTGGATTATCACCACTCACTATAGCCAACCAATTGATGAGTACATATCTGTCACTAATAGTTTTGTCTGTACCATCTGTAGCCTTGTAATGCCAGTTTATCAATCAGATAGTGTGAGTCAGGCCAAACCTGAGCCACAACATGGTCCCATTCCCATCCATGACTATGGACCATCATCCAATACTACATACAAATTATACATGGCATTCTAGGATCCACTATACATTGTTTCCTAGCCATGCCTAACTTGCTAAGTCTTTGACCTCTCATGCCATGGTCCAAACCAATTTGTTGGTTTATCAAGATGTGGGACTAGACTAGTACTTCCATGGTTTGAATTTGGAAACCCTCAAACAACAATGAAGCGCAGTGCAGCTATTGCCTCAACTCCTCCAGGCTACAAAATTAAGGGCTGGTTCTGTCCCTGCTGCCAGCATATCTACCAAATATATATGTCATAATCTCAAAAGCCAAAATTCATAAAACTCTGCATGTATTGTTCAGCAAAAAAATAAAAATAAAAATCTTTTGACCCATTTAATATGAAAAGGAAATATTTTATTTTATTGATTTAAAAATAAAATATTTTACCAAATAATATAATGAGATTTGGAAAAGGTGTGTATATTCAAGTCGCCCATAGAAATTATGTACAACCGTGCAAAAGCTAGCGTGTATAGCGACTTGAGATGTGCACATTCAAATTCATAACTTGCAGGACGCATCACATGGAAGGTGGACATCCTCGTGCACAACTTGAACAATCACATTTCTATTTATGTATGTCCCACTGCATTATTTCTTATAAAAATATTTTCTCCCTGCATTATTTCACTGTCTAATTGTTATAATGGGAAGAATTTGGGTTTGCTAAAGGAATGTTGCTTGCTGCTCATTCTACTTGCAGGGATCCCTTCATGCACTTTAAAAATACATATACAACTCAATTAAAACGTTCTCATGATTCACTTGTTTCCAGATTATAAAGCGTGATGAAATGGTTAAGGGACTCATAATGCTCATGAGTTGAAAAGGAAGATATGCATGTTCTCCACCCAATTTTAACAAGCTCTTAAAGCCTCAAATGACTACTGGTGAGTCTTGAAAGCTCCAAGGGTTACTGACTAGGCTTGATCTGCCTTTCACAAATTTCATAATGGAGACTTGACAAGTATAATCCTCCAATTAATGGTTTCTTTTATTGTATGTTCAAATTGTTAATATTCAAGGCAGCAGTAGGCTCTGCGAGGCAAGAGGTTCATTGTTACCATATTAATATCACTAAGGGGCCACAATAAAAATTTTGTATACTATCAACAGTTTTTGCGCTAAACTAGTCTCAGTTTTTTAGGATCATAAAGTAAAATTGGGTATTTACTAGTGTCATAGAAATCCCTCTTCCCCATTCCTTGAGCAAGAAATTGTCTCATTGCACCGATATGTCTAGACAAAATTAAAAAGACACAACATCCTCTTCATCCCTGAATTTGTTATTTCCTATACTATGTCCATATCTGATAATATTAATGGAAAGCCAAACGTCTCCCATAAGACATACACCATTTTTAATAATAAACACTCAACATATTTCTTTTAAGAATATGTCCATGTTATGCAAGGACATGAAATAACTCATAGGGTTGTCTTGATCCTCATCTAAAACTTATGGGATCCGCTGTGCTGGGAAGTGGGAACACATGTGAACCTTGATTAAAATAATATAAGAGATGAGAACATTATTCTCTCGTGTTATTCTTTTTTAGCCGGGGAATACTGCATGCATCATTGCAAAACACATAGTGCATTATTTTATAAACATTTTCAAGAAAGTTACAATTCTTTTAAATAATTTCAATAGAATTTGACATGAGGTGATCACGTGGGGATGGGACAGAGATGAGTAATTATTCTTAAGGATGCTAAATCCCAGGCCCAAAGCAGATACTATATGAAGCTGAGACATAGGAAATTGGGCTGGATCGTGTGTAGGGTACATCATGGGTTAAATTAAAAGTTTGTAGCCCAAATGTCATGGAGATTCCCAGCGTGCCGGAAGGCCCTTCTCTAGAACAAATAGCTTTTTTGGAGCATGTTTGCTGCGGTCCGGGAGCACAAGCTCCTTTACTAAATATAAAAAGAAAAAAAAGGATGGGGGAGGAATTTAGAAAAAAGAAAATGGTATAAATGAGATAAAATTTATCCTTTTTGAAAAAGGACCATGAAACAGTAAAATGGGCCTGGATCATAATAAAAAAATTCGCTTTTTTGCCGAATGCTGATATTTTTAATCTTTTTAAGGGAAATTTTTTTTGTGGTCCAGGATCATCTAATAACCTGGTGAATATCGATTTTTTATTTTTATTTTTATTCCTGTTATTTTCTCTCTTTTTCAATTTACTCTTTCATTTACACTAAGAGACTACCTAAAAAATTGTGGTTCCGAACCACAATAAATAATCTCCTCCTTAAGATACGTGCAATAAGAGCCACTGGGATTGACAATGCTGAGAAATTTTGATAGGTTGTATTAGGTTGTGTGTTCAATTTTTATTTGTATCTAAAAAATAAAAAATACTTGCAATAATTGTAAATATTTTAGGATAAAATACAATCTTCTCACTCAAGAGATGAAAAATATAAACAAACTTAATTATGAATAGGTTTCTCAAATACATTTTTCATTTGCAGTTACTGTGTACAAATAATTGTTTATAAAATTATCCAAAAAAAATTATTGTTTTTTAATACACTATTATTATCGATGTTAGAATTTCAGATAAAAAAAACAAAATAAAGTTTTAGTTACTTTTTACTATCAGCTTTGGGCATCGCCTAATTTTTATTTTATTTTTTTAAGTGTCAAAATCAATAGAAAATAATCATTGGCAACGCTAGAGGTTGCAGAAAAAGAAAAATTATTTAGAAAGTTCATTAATGTTAAAATAAAATGAGTTAATCTCTTAAAAAATAAATTTATAATTTTTCAAAATAGAAAAAAAATTAATTTCAACAATCTTACGTTCTAATTTCACTAATGGAAACACTCCAATAAGAGAAGCAGATACGTTCTAATTTTAGGGTCGTTTTTTCCAAAAAAAAAAAAAAAACAAGTTGTCTATTTTTTGTTAGGGTTTTAAAAATTATTCATCCAATCATTTTTTTTCTCTTTTTTTAAAAATATTTCTAAAACAAGTTTTAAATAAAGAGAAAAATATCTATTCTTTAAAAAAATATAGATTTATGTCATTTTAACAAAAAATACTTGTTTTATTTAATATTTAAATTAAAAAACTCTATTAATAATCTTTCACTTTCTCTCACATTAATGATTCTTCATTATATAACAGTTACTATTAGTTTTATTAAAATAAAAAAATTATGTATTCTATAGAAGAATAAACACATTTCCCTAAATATAACCATTCTTATATAATATTCTAAACAAGTTTTAAAAACTTAAAACAGGAAATCATTCCAAAGAAACCTCAAATATTCAATATAATGATATGCTATTATTTGATTAATTAATTTGACGTAGTTTTTTTTTTTAAACTTAAAAGCAATTTAAGTTAAAGTCAAAAATAAAAACTTAAAAAACTAAAACTTAAAAAAATAAAATACTTTTCTATTATTTGATAAATTAATTAGACGTAATATTTTTAACCTTAAAGATACTTAAACGTTAAAAAAATAACAACAAATTATTTGGTAATTATATAAATTTTTAACTTAAAAATTATTCTAAAATACCGGTAAGATTATTTGACATAGTTATAAAACTTAAAAATTTGACTCACCATTTGAGCGGTTTATTAAGAATTAATAATTAATTAATATATTCAATTTAATAAATTATATCTATTAAATTGATAAAAATTAACGAGTGAGATGAGCGTAATAATTTTTAATTTCACTATGATTCCTCCCTATAAAATATCAAATGTATTAAATAATGTGATAATATATCATTAAATATAAGTTCAAAAGCTAAAGACTAAAATATCTCGAGTTTCAATCATTTATAAATCAGTGATTGGAGAATTCCACGACTGTGCTTGAACCAAAATAAAATGAATTGGATAAAAAAAGTCACTAAAACTAAATTAAAAAAAGAACAGATAAGGATAAAGAAAAGACTAGTTTGGGTTAATCTAGAAAATTTAATTGAAGTTTGATCAGATAGAGGTCACCTTTAAATCTAAGTCCTATGTTTCTCTTCAACAGTACGCACTACGCATGTTTCCATACTCTCAGTCTCTCACTGCTACTCTATCGGTCAAACGATCTACTAGTTGTGAATTTCGCCATCTCCAAACCACCCACCACTTTTACTTCTTTTTCTTATTCAATTTTCTTCCCTCCAATTCACTCCTCACATATACACACAGGTTCTCACTCGTATCATGTTTTCTTTCTTCCTTCCTTCCTGAATCTAAATGACGCTATAGATTATGTTTCTTATAATGGTGACCTTGTTTGTTTGCCTAATTCCTTCGGTAATAATGGGTATAATTTGGATTTGGAGATAAACCTATAAATGTGATCAAGTTTGTCTTTTTTTGTTTTAAATTATTTTTTTTCTGGGTTTCAAAATTATGCACTTGTCTTGGGTTTGTTCAATTGGATAATCTCATTCACCTAAAAGTTGCATTCAGGTTTGTTAGCAAAACTTGTATTTTTCTTATACAATTTGGTTTAGTTTAGTTTGTGAACCCCATCTGAGATTTGTTTTTTTATTTAATTGATCAATGAATAAGTATTTGCCATCCTAATTTCCTTTGAGAGAAGCTGTTGACTTGTAACATGGCATTGATAATTTGGCGTTTGTTTTTTCACTCTCTTGAGCAGGTTATTGCTCTTAGAGTTTGCTTAAAATGAGGCAGAGGCGTGAAACTGCTTCAGCAGTATCTAAAGGGTCAAGCAGTGGTGAAGCAACTGAGAAGTCTACTAATGATGCTGAAATCCTCACCGATTTTCATGTTGGAAACCCAAGGAGGTCTTCTTTTGTGTGGCTGGCTTTGTTCCTGATTATCACTTATTGCTGTTCAGCCATTTATGATTACCAGTTTCAGAGCATGCCTCTGCCTCTTACTGCAGAAGAGGCTGGCAAGAGGGGTTTCTCGGAGATTGAAGCTTTCAAGCATGTCAAGGCCTTGACTGAGGTGGGCCCTCATCCTGTCGGTTCTGAAGCTCTGCATCTTGCCCTGCAGGTTGGGTCCTCAACTTTGTTATTTGTTTTTTTCTTCATAGTTTTGTTGCATTCTGTCTGACTCCATGACTAAATGTTATGTTTTATGTTGATTTGGACAAGTTCATATTCCATTATCTTTTATGTTGTTTACAAAGGGAGATTAGTGAACTTAATTAAGGGTATATATGTATTGCTTTTCATTGATTCATTGGAACTCAAGAATTATGAGTAGTGGACTACATGAAATTTCTCCCAAAAGAAATAAATAAGAGGAAACCTGTCAATCAATTCATTGTTCCTTTCTGGGTCTCTGTTATGCTGTAATTAAATTGTCTCAGAAATGAATCAGGACGTGCTTATATTCTGGATATAAACATCCTTTATGTAGAATTTTTGAGTTCATAATTGTAGATTATTATATGTGTGAACTGCAGTGCAAGGATCAGCACAATTTAGATCGCTTGGCTCATATTATATCTTAAATGTGAATAAGAAAATAATTTGTTGATCCTGTTGGTAAGTTATCTAATAACTGTTGGTGATTTAAGAATCTTTATGATTTTAATATATAGAAATTTAACTCTTTGTTACTTGTGACATTTTACAAGGATTTCCTCTATCCCTATCCTCGCTAGTCGGGGTTTCATGGGGAGTGGTTTTTTTTTTTTTGGCTGAAGTGTTCAGTGTCTTAAAGCTAGGAAAAGTTTCCTTAATATATTCTTATCTACACATTCTGTATTAGTACTTAGTTAAAGAGACTAATGCTGGATTCTCTGTATTGAAAGTTGAGTTGGGATTAATACTTAACCACGTTTTTCTTTGATATCTTATCAAAGATAGCTAGGACTTTTTTGTGTCATGAATCAGACTTTTTAAGCTATCTTATGTTTGGTTTACTTAAAAGCAAATGGACTAGTAGATTGATCTGAACTTTACTACCACTAACATTCTGGGCTAGTATGAGTCAGAACTCCGAACGAAAAGCTTGAAAATGAAAAATATGCTATGCCATTTTAAATGGGATTGGCATCTATTCCATTCCTGAAATTACTGATTTTACTCGGTGACTAAGGGGAGTAACAACAAGCAATCCAACTGATTGTAGTAATTTATTAGTCCATTCTCTGTTAATTATACATTTATTTTAACATGCTACCAACTGCAGTATGTTTTGACAGCATGTGAAAATATTAAGAAAACAGCTCACTGGGAGGTGGATGTTGAAGTGGATCTTTTTCATGCAAAGTCTGGTGCAAATCGTCTGGTCAGTGGCTTATTTACAGGGAAAACACTTGTTTATTCGGATCTGAATCATGTCGTAGTAAGAATCTTGCCAAAATATATATCTGAAGCAAGAGAGCATACTATTCTGGTCTCTTCTCATATTGATACTGTTTTTTCAACGTATGTTTTCTTCATCTATTTGCTCCCATACTTCTGTTTTAAGCAATCATTATTTTTGTCTTTGTTTTTAATATGACATTTACAGATTATTGGGATGCATTTATCATTGTAATCCAATTTACTGACATAAATATGTGGCACATGGAGGTGAGAATGTGTGTATGTAATTGTCTATCTATGATGGACCACTAGTATAGAACTGTATGTTTGGTGAAAATTTTCATTTTTCTCCATCCTGCAGGAGGGTGGGAAATGGTTTCATGGTGGGGAGTTTTTTTGGAGCCCTGATTTTCAAAGAGAAAGATTAAATATATACATATTTTTATGTGTGTTTTGTTTTAAATGTCCTCACATTAGTGGCTCTAAATAAAGGAATGTTCAATTCTTTGATCTGTAAGAGAAGATATTGCTTCCTGCTGTAACATTAACTTGAAACTAATGCACAGATGGGCAATTGGAACAATAATGCTGCTGAAATAGGAGTATTTTTAAGTATTTTCCAAATGTATAGGTACCACAATTCAGTGAATACACATCTTGCTGTCAGATGCAGTATGGTTCAGAATCAGATAATGGATTTCTTCTTCTTCTTCTTCTTCTTATTATTATTATTATTATTAATATTATTTAATGAGATTCTCACACCTATCATGAGTTGTATAATCTCCTATTGAGAATGCTCGCTTCATTGATTGATTAGTTAGCATCAAACATGTAGATCATAGCACTGACAGAGATGTTTAAAATTTTGGTTGTAATAAACTGGATTATTTTAAAGCTTACGCTTGTACATTTGAGCTATGCATTAATAGGAAATAATGATTTGTTGAGAGTCTGCATTGAAGGCACTATATAATTTGCTTCTAAACATATAGCATTGATTTATCAGAGAAGGGGCTGGAGATTGCAGTTCATGTGTGGGTGTTATGCTGGAACTTGCTCGTGGAATTTCTCAGTGGGCTCATGGATTGAAGAAAGCTGTTATATTCTTATTTAATACTGGCGAGGAGGAGGGTCTTAATGGTGCTCATAGCTTCATAACCCAGGTAAGGAAATATTTGTTAATGCATCCTTAAATTAATTAATTTGTTTTCTTGCTTGTTTCTCAGCTAGTTTGAAGATGTGATATTTTTTCACTGCTTATAAGACTGATGTTGGGATTCGAAGAAATATAAATTATAAATATTTAAGGGATAAATCTATTAGAAAGAAGTTCATGGACCACATCTCAATTTTCAATTTGAACCCTTCCACCGTTTTGTTGTCTACTTAGGACAATAACTTTATAATTTGTTTTCATAAAAAATAATTTCATAATAATTAAAACGTAATTCCCCTTTTTTATCAATATTTAAAAAGATGCATGTGGCAATAACATCTTTAAAACTTAAGTCTTGTAATTTGGGGGATTTCTTCTCCTCCTAGATGTATATTCTTTCTTTTCTTGATTGTTTCCTTATAATATATTTATCAATTATTAAAAAACGGTTTTAAATTGTTGACATGTTATCTACCTCATCTATATGACATGGATCATACATCAACAAGGCTACTATTTTTTAATGTGATTTTATTTTATTTTTTACTTGTTTGAAAGATATATCTAAAGTTAATGAAAAATATACTATTTTAATTTAGTTCATATTAAGATTTAAGATTCGTTGCATTTTTTGTTCTCAGTTAAAAAAACTATACTTTGAATTTTTCCAAAAAAACATTGAAATATAATGCAGAATAAATTGCATACTAAATTATTTTAATATATTTTATAATACCAAAATTTTAATGAAAAATATTGATATTAAGTTTATTGAAAAGTTATCACTATTCTTTGAAAATAATTCCTATAATATATTTTCAAATGAACCAAGCATCTTAATCTGGAATTTTTTTATAAACATTTTAGAAGCATGCAAAACTTGTCAAATCATTTTCATTTATAAGTAATACAAATTAAAATAAACAAAAAGTTAAAAAAAAGCACAAAATGTTTTGTCATGTCTTATGTTTATCTATTAGAGAATATGGCTCATCTGTTACTATCAGATAATAATTCAACCTGTGTTTTTCTTTGCTTTTTACATGTTTTGATGTTTTAATTTTCTGTACTAGTATTATTGCAATTTTCCTGCCAACAATACCAAATCTAGAACATAATGTATTTCTGTGTATTGGTTTGCAAATATTTTTCAACCTCTGTTGTGAAGGTCAGTTTCTGGTGGGTTTACTGTGGCTAGATTGCAAAGTTATTGTTATTATGAATTTGCTCATGCATGAAGAGCACAAACTATCAATATAGAAATTTAATGTTGTTTAAGGGTTAAAGAGGCTAAATTTTTATGGCAATGTCATGTGGAATCCATGATGCTATTTGGTGCATTGGTTTGGAGCATAACGCTTGCATTTTGGCATTTGATTTCTATTTGGTGTAAAGATCATGGTCTGTTTAAGTGGTTTCCCTAACATATATGCAGAGGCAAGAGGGATTGGCCAGCTTTGCTTTATTGATGTTCTCTAACTTTTCATTTTCATTAAGCAGGATCCCTCATCCTCCAAATTCCTTGTAGTGTTGTTATCTTCTTAATGAATTTATTTTATCCAAAAAAAAATAAAAAATTCAAGGTTTAATCTTTAGGATGCATGTTTAGATAAGATTTGATTGACTGTAATTGTCGATCTACTGCATTCGTTCTCCTCTGGGGAATTTGGACTTACTGCATTGAAGGATCGATGCTAAAGAGTTTGTACTTTCTACATTATGTCTGAAATGTGTTATTTTTTGTTCTTTTTTATTATCTGTTAGAATTGCAAGTTCTCTCAAGCTGCTCTGAATGTTGGAGTGATTTTCTTATTGGTATCTGAAACACTATTGTTATATAACAACCCTCTTATCAATAAAAGAGATTTTTAATGCAGCATCCTTGGAGTAAAACTGTTGGTATGGCTATTGATCTGGAGGCTATGGGCGTTGGAGGGAAGTCTAGTATTTTTCAGGTGTGGCTATAGATCGCTATTAAATTTTAATGAAGTTCTAATTTCCATTGTTTGCAAATTGCTTCTCTACTTTTGCCTATAGATCACATGTTAATGGTGTCATAGTTGTCTCAGTTGGATCATTATGAAGAGATTTTCGTTGTGTTAAGAACAAAACCAATCTTCTGCCTTTGTTGGTAAAACTCATGGTTTCCAGAGACTTTATGACCAAATGGTCCCTAGTTCAATTTTCGCTTCCTTCATTCTTTTAAATAAAAGGTGAATTTCAGCACAAGGTAAAGTTAGCTTGTGTATTGTCCATGCTTCAACCCAAAAAGCTCTTGCTTGAAGGGATATGTTAGAAGTAAAATTAATCTTGTGCCTTCACCTAACAACTTAGGTTTTTAGAAGAGTTGATTGTTGACTCCCTGTAAGTCCTTTATATCAAAATCATCAACAATTTAAGATTTAAAATAAAATTTGACTGCGTGAACTGCACAGTAAGTTGCATGGCTTGAGCAACTATGCCTGTTCTTATTCATATTATCTTTTTTTCTTTTTTTTTGGTTATTCATGTACATCACTTGATTGAGGTTTTTAAAAAGTAAGCTTTAAATCGTTCATACCGAAATAAGCCGGAACATCTTTAACAAATATGAAACCAAAGTTTTTAAAAGATCATTTCTGGTTTCTGCATTTTTCCATCCAAACTTGCATATTTTAAGTAACTTGATTGTATTTTCCTTGGGAGTTATTTTGAGCTTAAGCTATGAGATGATGTTAAATAGGGCTAAGAAACTCGACTAATGGATTCAATTAAAGGTAGTATTTAAATTGAGCAAGCTTGTCTCAGGTTTTTTTATGGGAAATAGTGTAAGAGGCTTTTTCACTTCCTTGTTTCCTTTAATTAGATGCCTTATTTCATAAAAAAGGTATTACCACCTGTCACTTCTACTTGTTATGTCATTTCGAAAATGAATGTTTTTTTATTAAAACAAATATATTGAAAATAAATGACAAAATTGTTCATACCATGTTAGTTCTGTTGGAAATAAAGTTGTTTTTCAAAGACTTGGGCTGCATGGTTTCGTATGTAGTCTTATTCAGAACTTCCTAGATTCTTCATTCTTAGATGAGTTTATCTTAATTAGAACTTTTAATGGCTTTGCTGTTTCCCTTTTCTATAATTTGTAGACTTGATTTTGTCAACAACTGCTCATTTTCACTTGATTTTGCTAATAAAGCGAAGTGAAAAAATAATTTTTGTTCTTCCGCTGATAAGTATTCTATTTTTTATGTTGGTTCATCATGTGTTACATTCAATCTTGATTGCCTTCCCCTCCAAAATGAGGGAAAAAAGTGTATTTCACATTAAAAATTATTGTTCAGTCTTCAACTAAGACTCTAAAAATAGAAATGTTATGTAGCTATTTGACATCCAAATCTTATTCTTTCTGGAGTTCGTTTGTTAATTATGATAATAAGTTCATGCCTCTTGCTAATAATGGCTTTGCATTTAGTAGGCTGGTCCTCATCCATGGGCTATTGAGAACTTTGCTTTAGTAGCAAAATATCCATCTGGTCAAAGTATCGCACAGGTTTGTAGGTTTCCTCATTGCAGTTTGTTCTATACCAGTTTTTTTATCAATGATTTTTATTTTCAATATTTTTTTAAACAATCACTCAAATTAACCAATATTTATGCTGCAGGATCTTTTTTCTTCGGGGGCCATAAAATCTGCCACAGATTTCCAAGTGTACAAAGAGGTTGCAGGCCTTTCTGGGCTTGATTTTGCATATCTAGATAATACTGCTGTATATCATACCAAGGTTTCCTTCTGTCCTTACACCATTTTAGAAAAATAATTGGATTGCTTTTTGTTCTAGCTAAACATGGAAATTCATATTGTGTTGGTTGAGAGAATGAGATTTAACAAAGCAATTCTTTAAGAGAGCTCTCCATGCAATAACAAATTGAGTCCTGTAGTTTGACTGGATTTGAAGTAGTAAGACAGTATCTTGTCATTGCCCATAAGTTTTAGTTTTAGACCTAGACTTTCCTTATTTACTGGACTTAAGATGGTTTGGACTTTGGATTACATAGCAAGAACATATTATAGAAATGAGCCATCTTATTTTGCTCGGGTGTTTGTTCTAGTGCTAAAGCCTAAATTGTGGACTACAGTTGTGCTTTGGTGTATTGGAAGGTGGAAGCAGAATGGGAACCCATTTTTGGCTGCAGTTTGGAAGAATTGATTTGAAAGATTGATAAGGGATTTTTTTGACAAGGTAGCATATGGGAGGTATACTTTTGTTTGGCAGGTGATTTTCATGTGTGGGCTTTGGTCAACCTTGTGTTGCCCTACTTGAAAGTCCTCTTGTGCATGAGAGAAGATATATGAAGAGCGAAGTGAAAGACCTCATGTAGATTGACCTTCTGCTGCAACCCAATTACGTAAAATACTCTTTTTGTTAGTAGTGTTGAAGATACGACAACTATTTGAAAATATGTAGCTCTTATTTTATGGTTTTAGGTCACTGAAGGGTATTGGAGTTGAAGGCATGTTAATGCACTGCTGGCATCTTTAAGGTTTGAGGATGGTAGATGCATGCTGTTTTAGGATCATGTTGCAATAGAGAGAATCCTTGAAATTATTCCTTTGATTTTATTTATTTGGATCTCCTAGAGAAGTTACTGGCCCAGTGGGTCATCTAGTGAGGATGTTGGTGTGCATCTGTATGATCAGTATTGCACATTGATTGTTTATAACATATTCTTTGCACTTAAAAATCTGAATATTATTTATTCTAAATAATTAAAATTATTATATTGGAAGTTGAATGTCATTTTACTGGCATATTATTTTAATAGATCTGTTCTCTCTAAGGAGAACTAGTCATTTAATTCTCAGTGCTTCTTCTAGTGTAGTAATATACGATTATTCTTTCAGAGCAAATAAATAATATTTGAAGTTTGTAATCAGCATCCTAGCTGCAAAAAAAATCTGCAATTTTTCGTATCTAACTTTTACTATAAAAGCTAGATGGGTATACTGCAAAAAATATGTATGATGAACAGATGGCTTACCATCCCTTGATATGGTCTTTTTGGCCTTGCAAGATTTGCTTTGAAATTTCCCCCCATTTCTCTAGTGTGAATAGTGTTTTCCTTGCAATCTATTAGTTAGTTTACAGAAACTATGCCGGTGCTGAAGTAAGAAATTGGGTAAATATGCCAACATTAACTTGTGAAAGAGGAACATAAGAAGAAAAGTAACCCCCTGATAAGTGAAGGTGTATTATGTCTTGCAGTTGACTAAGTTACTACAAATAATTGTTACTAAAATAGTTCGAGTTAATATTATTTTATAGCGCGGGACATTTTAGGTTTGACAACTATACCATTGCCTACAATTTATTGACTATTGGTTGCAATGTTAAATGACATAAGGTGGTGGTGGAAGTAGAAAGATGCTTCATGGTAAATGTCATGAATCAATTCAAGCAAAAACTTAAGCTATTAAGTGAATGTCGCATTAATGATTTTATATTATATTTCTCTAACATGCTCTCTCACAACAAGAGCGCATTGGGCTTGAAGGGGAGACAATGCACAGGCCCACCCATCTGATGTTAAGAAACTCCACAATATTTAATTATTTATTAATATAATTGAACTCGTGACCACTTGGTCACAGAGATTTTGATAACTTGTCAAGAACTAATTCAATCCAAAAAGCTTAAGCTGTTAAGTGAAGGTCACACTAATAGTTTTATACCATGTTTCTCTAACACTAACAAAAGGCTTTATTTAAATATTTTCTTATCTAATGATAATGTAATGTTTTTCCTTGTGCAGAATGACAAATTAGAGCTTCTGAAGAAAGGATCTCTTCAACATCTGGGGGAAAATATGCTTGCTTTCCTGCTTCATATTGGTGCATCTTCACATTTTCCCGAAGTCAATTCAACAGAAGCAGGGGAAGATATGAGCAATAACAATGCTATATATTTTGACATTTTGGTAATTAAAAGCTGCAAAAACTGTGTTGGTCTTCTTGATTATGTCAACCATATTCCACCATTCTTTGCTTTATTGTGTATGTAATGTATTATTTTCCATATGAACTGGGTCATTGTAGCTTGCTATGCTGCCTTCGTAATTTTAGGCTCTGATATATGGTAACTGTCTGATCTTTTCAGGGAACTTATATGGTTGTATACCGTCAAAAGTTTGCTAATATGCTCCACAATTCAGTGATAATGCAGTCACTTCTAATATGGACTACATCATTGGTAATGGGTGGTACACCGGCTGCAGCTTCGTTGGCCTTGTCGTGTTTGAGTGTTCTCCTTATGTGGGTGTTTGCCTTAAGTTTCTCCTTCCTTGTTGCTTTTCTTCTACCTTTGATATCTTCATCACCAGTTCCGTATGTTTCAAGCCCGTGGTTAGTGGTTGGATTATTTGGTGCACCAGCTTTTCTTGGAGCATTGACTGGTCAACATTTGGGTTATCTTCTACTTAAGAAATATCTTATGAATGTACAATCAAAGAGAAGGCAATTGCCCCCTATTATTCAAGCTGACGTTGTCAATTTGGAGGCTGAAAGATGGCTCTATAAAGCTGGATCCTTTCAGTGGCTTATTCTTCTCACTTTGGGAAACTATTTCAAAATTGGGTCTTCTTACTTGGCTCTTGTTTGGTTAGTTTCTCCGGCATTTGCATGTAACTATCACTACCTTATCTTTGTCATTGTTAGAACAACTTTTGTTGCCTATTACTAAATTTTGGTTGAAATATCCAGATGGCTTTTTTGAAGCTACGCTATCCCCAGGCAGGTTACCAAAGCCGCTCAAACTGGCAACCCTTATTCTAGGGTTAGCCACACCAATTTTAATTTCTGCTGGCACTTTTATTCGGCTGGCTGCTACCATCATAGGGGGTATGGTTCGACTTGATAGGTAAATCTTTTCTTTCCCCCCTTAATCAGTATACATGGACTGACCTGTATATGAGCCGTGTCTATTGCTTAGAAATTTGTTAATGTTGTGTTGTATCCCTGGATTATTTTCACACAAAATCCCCAGAAAAATAAAATAACAATAGGCACTACTGAATATTCACACTATTTATTACTTTAAAGAGTACAACAACAATAGAGGGGATTCCCTCTTCAAGGAGTAATCTCCTTCTCTGAGAATTTATTCTCAGCCTAGACTTCTTTAATCACATACTTCCCTAATTGAGGATAAGCCCTCTTATTACAAGGCATAATAACTACCCATAACCAACACATAAAATAATAACTGTTAGAAAATGTCATCCAACACACATAAATAACCAACATAAAATCAACATAATAACTAACTTAAATTTAATTAACCCTCCTAGTATAGACTTTAAGTGGCTTAGGCCCCTTAATGCCCATATCCATATCATGTTGTCATTTTCTTTTCTCGTACATTGTGAGCGTTGCTGCCTGTTTTAATTTATGTATTTGTATTCTTCAATGGTCTGTCTGCGGTAGCTAATTTCAGGATATGACTAGAACATCAAAAGCAAAAAAAGATCCTGAAGGATCTGAAAATGTTTTACCTTTTAATGTATTCTATGATACATGATGAAGCCAAATTTCATAATGAAATTTCTGTATTCATTTCTTAGTAGTAATTTTATAATTATGTAGGGAGGCCATATACTTGCATTTGTTGTTATAAAATAAAATTTCTTGGAAGTTTCCCCTCGTCGTCGAAAAAGAAGAAAATCAAGATAAAGATGTAACTGTATACTAATCAAGAAAAAATACAATCGGGTAATTTTATATGAATGCCAAATTCAAGTCCAACGGGAATTGCTAGAATATTAATATCATCATTTGAGTTAGGAGTGCCATATTATATTAGGTGTGTTATTGGGCTGGGTTGTGCTAGTTATACTACACTTGTACCTGACCTAGATTATTAGTATAAATAGGGGTATAAGGTCAATGTTATCTATTAACATCACATATAACAACTATTCAGTGTCTCCTTAGTAGAATATTCTCTTTCCTCTTTTCCATTAAATCCCGAAAATCTCAACATGGCATTATAGCCGTACCATCTATGAACTGTGTCTGCCATTGTTTTTGCCTATAAAGTTTCTCACGTATGAAACTTCTTTCTATTGCATCGTTCTCTGTTTTCACCTTGCTCTAGTTTTTGCTTTTTGGTGGCTATGTTCATTATTCCGGACACCATTCATCATTTTATTCATCCCATGGTTTTTGCGTGTCCTCTGTTTGTTTTCCTCTAGTTTTCCTTCAGCCTCCTATCTCCGCCTGCTTCCAGGATTAGGAACTTGCCTATTTTTCCTGTGGTCAAAGTGTAATTAGAGAGAAATATTTGTTATCCAATCATGTTTTTGAGAAACTTCCAGTTACTGCTGCTTCTATCCTTCTGGCCCCATTACCATTCTACTATCATCATTGCCAGCGTAGCTATCTTTACTCTGTTTCCGCTATCATTGCCACCTTGACTCAGTTGCCTGCCCTTCACCACCACTGTCACTATTGTTGCTGTTAAGAGTGTTAGTGTTAATAGTGTAGAAGTCCCACATTGAGTGTGTCTCTTTGTATTCTTCAATTGGTTTGCTATATAATAGCACCAATGTTGTGTAGTTTAATACAACAAAGATTACTATCATTTCCTCTTGTATCTATGATATTCAACATGGTATCAGAGCTTGAGGTTCGATCCTCACCGCCCCCCACTTTAAAGTGGAAGCACAAAAAAGGTAAACCAAAGATTGAGCCTGTTGCATAATTCACGCTTCAAGCCAAGAGGGCTCTTGCATGAGGGGGCGTGTTGAGATATATAGTCCCACATTGGTTGAAGAGCAACTAATGTGGAGTTTATAAGACCTTGGGCACTCCCACCCTTTGAGCTAGCTTTTGGGATGATGACCTCAAGGTTCTTAACATGGTATCTAGAGCCTAACAAGAGGAATCTTAATCCGTTTAACTTAGTTCTATAATTTCAATATGGTTATAGAGAGATATCACCCTCCTTGAGGAATTCCCGTTGCTATTTCTTTTTCGGGTTTTTCTTAGTATGCTTTGTGGCTGCAACTTAGACTGATCTGTCACATCAGAAAAGAATGATCCTTGGGACGTTGTTGGGTTGACCACCGTTGTCGTTGACTGACCACCGTTGACCGCGTCGTCCACCGTTGACAGCCGTCTCCGGCGACTTTTCCGGTGACTTTTCCGATGACTTTCCGGCGACTTTTTCGGCGATCCACCACTGTCTCTGACGACTTTTCCAACGACCCACCGCCGTCTCCGGCGACTTTTCCGATTCTGCGAAGCTTTGTTTTTCTTTAATCTTCTTTCTTCCCAAGATGGAGTATTTATACTATTCATCATCCATCTTGAGGGGGAGCACTGTCCAAGTTGCTGATGTTGTCTCCGTTGATGATAATTCTGGCACTGTTTAGAAGTTCCTATTAAGGGGGAGCACTGTCCATGTTGCTGATGGTCATTCGAGCACAATTGTCTTTGTCGATGATAATTCTGGCACTGTTTAGAAGTTCCTCTTGAGGGGAAGCACTGTTCATGTTGCTGATGGTCATTCCAGCACAATTGTCTTTGCCGATGATAATTCGGGCACTGTTTAGAAGTTCCTCTTGAGGGGGAGCACCGTCCATGTTGCTGATGGTCATTCCAGCAAAATTGTCTTTGCCGATGATCATTCCGGCATCTTCCATGTTGATGTTCATTTCGACGCCATTTTTAGCACATTGTTGATTTTTGGTTTCTCATTTAGGAGATTTATTTTGATGTTATGTTACTTGGTCTTTCTTGTAATAAGCTTGTAGCATAGTTAAGGGGAAACCACGGCTGCTCACCAACTGTTAAATAAAATGTTTGAGAGGGATCTTGATGCTGATGTCCTGGTTAGCTCAGTTGTCTTTGCCGATGATAATTCCGGCACCGTCCATGCTCTGATGTCCATTCCAGCACTGTCTCTTTATCAGCTCTTCACACTGATGGTCATTCCAGTTGATTTGTTGTACTTAGTCATTTCATTTCGTTGATGTAGCATTGTTGTTTTTGGTTCCTAATGAGAGTATTATTTATGTATCAAGCTTGTAGCATATGATTTATATGCTACAGCTTGAGGGGGAGTGTTAAGAGTGTTAGTATTAATAGTGTAGAAGTCCCACATTGAGTGTGTCTCTTTGTATTCTTCAATTGGTTTGCTATATAATAGCACCAATGTTGTGTAGTTTAATACAACAAGGATTACTATCATTTCCTCTTGTATCTATGATATTCAACAATTGCCATTTTCATTGTACTCATTACCACTATTTTCACCATCCATTTTGTCGCATAAAGGTCAATTTTCACTTTTAGTACTGTCGAAATCTAATTTACTTTTCTTTACTGGTGTGTGCAGGAATCCTGGTAGTACTCCTGAATGGCTGGGAAATTTTGTGATTGCTGCCTTTATTGCTGTTCTCTTGTCTTTGACCTTTGTGTATCTTCTTTCATATGTCCATCTTTCAGGTTTGTTTACCATATAGCTATTTTGCAAGTAACATTGAAATCCTAATATTATTTGTGATAATGGAATGCTAATTGCTCGGTTTTTGTGGATGCCAATTTTCAAAGAAATTATCCTGTCATACAACATGTTGTTTGAGCTTTGTAAAATTTAGACCTGGAGTGTAACTGGTTTTTTCTTTTTGGTTGGGTGGGAGGGAGAGATGGTGACAGAGAATTGATGGTACCATATGTTAAATAATTAAATTGAGATGAACCTGGTCAAAGATTAGTTTGAGTTGCACTCTTGACCTATAACATCCTGTTAAAAATATGTACTGCGAAACTTAGGACCATGCAAATTTTCTTGCTTTGATCACCATGGTCCCTCTAGAACCACTGAATTATAATTACTATGCAGAATTATGATTTGAATTCCAAATTATCCAAAAATGTGATTGGTTCAAAATCATAACTTTCTGTTTGGGATCTTACAAAGGTTTAAGACATGGAATTCTTAGTTAAATTTCAATTATATTGTTTAGATCTATGATTTTGAATTGAAGAAAATAAATATAAATTTAGATATATAAGTAACAATCTTAAATTTATCATGAAAATTTTTACTAAATAAAATCATTAGCCAATGTGATGTCTTTTACATCTTTGGAGGACCAAAGTAGACATTTACTCAAAATTATAATTAGAATGCCCATGTAATATTACTGTGGTTATGGAATTTCTTCTGGTTACAAAGATTTAACAGTAAAGTTTCCTTATATTTTATCATTAGCAATTTTACTTGCTTCGAGTTATGAGACATTGGTTGATCTATGTATTTTGTCTTGTTTGTCCCTGGCCTTTTTCTGTGTAACCTTTCAATCCCTTCCTGCTCCTCGCCCACTCATAACACTACCACTTAACTGCCTCATGTAAAAAATCAATTCAATCTAAAAGTTTAAGCTATTAAGTGAATATCACATTAATGGTAATGGTTTTATATCATACTTCTCTAATATGCCCCTTCACACATGATCTCATTGGGCTTGAAGGGTGAACAATGTACAGGTCTACCTATCCGTGCAAAGAAACTCCATAATATTTAATTATTTATTAGTATAATGGGGGGCAATAAGAATCGAACTCGTGACCGCTTGGTCACAGAGGCTTTGATATCATGTAAAGAACCAATTCAACCCAAAAGCTTGAGCAATTAAGTGAATGTCACATTATTGGTGATGGTTTTATATCATACTTCTCTAACATCTCACTTTATCAATGCAAAGGACATGTCCACACTCATCAATTTTTTGTTAATATTTAACTTTGCAGATGAAAGTGAGCTAGATTGAGGGTGGCATAATTGTCTTAGTTTCTTGCGAACTGGTTGTATGCTTTATTGAGTCTATAATCAAGGGTGCTTAGACTTAATTGTTTGTTATTGAGGTATTATCAAGTTTGTAAGTTTGAAGTATAACTAACTGATATATCTTGTAAAACATAAATGAATATACTTTCAAAATATGTCATATTCAGTATTGTTGCCTTTTGCTAAATTGGTAATTTGGTACAGGTGCGAAAAGGGCAATCATCCTAGCTACTTTGGTGCTGTTTAGTTTGTCACTTGCAATTGTATTATCAGGTGTTGTTCCACCATTTTCTGAAGACACTGCCAGAGCTGTGAATGTAAGTTTCCATTTGCACGTCTTTTGCCACTACAATCACTTTGATAGAGACCTCAAATCCATAACCTGAAAATTAACAACAGTAACTGAGATTTTCTGAATGGAAATGGAAACTTGTATTACTGATATGAAAAATTAGAATACTGGTAATTGAAGATAGCTAGTTACAGATCAAAATACTTCAAGGAAAATTACAAGAAATGGAAAGGGAAATTACAGAACAACAAAAGCTAAAAGATTGGAAATTAACAAAATACAAACACTGATATCCAGAACAATTCGAGAGGATTTGGTTCTCTCCCAAGAGTCCCAACTTTCCAAGATGCCTCCAAATGATTCCCCCTTGCTATTAATAACCAGTCCCGTAAGATGGTGCGACTCTAACCGCCTGATTCCCTTCTTACTAATTCCCTTCTAAATTGTTGCTAACTCAGCATTGGTAATTGGAAGCTGCAATACACCCCTACAAATGTATTTTGTGGCACATCCATATCACACTTATTGTACTTAATAATAATACACACATAGCTGTCCTGGTTTGTAGTATTTTGTATGTCTATCTTCTGTCACTAGTTTTCTATGATTTATGCGATTGTGGATGTCTTAAGTAATTCCTGGTCTGTGTGTGAACAGTTTAGTATAGTTATTAACTTACTTTCTCTTCTTCTCATGTCCTTCCCATGAAACAGATTTTCAGAGGTAAAATCATAAAACATAGTTTTTATATTTGACAAATTTCATTAAGTTAAGCATAACATTTCACGTGAAAATCGTAGTTTCTCAAATACTTACCACGAAATTGTTGCCATTTCATGGTCATCGTATCTCTCTCAGCCACATCTACCAAACCCCCGCCTACCTCATCCATGCCACATCTAAATCTTTCACACGTCTTTAGTACCAAAATTGCTCTGACTGTGTTTATTACAATCTCCTGTCATTGTTAGTTTATCTATCCTGTTGTTGAAACCTGTTACTTGATGCATGTGTCATTACTTCTACTGCCCTTGGAGCAACCACATCTGGCACTTCATTAAAATTTGAAAATTATATGCTTATCTGAAAGTAAAAAAATATTGCTTCACTTAATCACTATTTGTAGTAACATGGTAGATACTGTTTTCTTTCTGAAATTCCAAGTTCATACTCATTCCAGTGGTGTTTCAATACCAAAGAATACAGGGAATGAACATGAGCATGACAAATACGGTAACACCCGCCATTGGGGTTGGGGGAAACTAGGTCAAAAAAGATAGGTTATGTTTGAGTATTTGATGTTGGAAATGATCAGGTTGCATCCAGATCCCATTCTTGAAATTTTAATTGCAGATTATATATTTTTTGCTGTCTCAAAGTCGAAGGTGCCAGTTATATGATTTTTCTGCATATGATGTAGGTCCATTTTGCACACTTGCACCGCTGCTTTCTAATTTTGGAATGTCATCAGATCCCATACTCCCAGTTCTATATCTATTTTTAGGGTCTTAATGCTGCTTAACTTACCACTGAACTGTTTGGCCTTTGTACCTAAGACTAGTGATTACGTATTCTGCAATTTCTTGAGGAATGATGATTCTTCATGATCTTAAGTTGATTACTGTCAATATGAATCTTAGAATAATTTAGAATATCTTAGAAGCTCTTTAGAATATATTGTGGTTTTGGAATCAATCAGTCATCTGCTTGAGGAAACAATCGTATGAATTGTTTGCCATTCATTATATTCCCTGATTTATTTTCTCATTTAATTAGAGTTAGTAGTCTTATTTTATTAGTGGGGTTGGGCTTGACCTAATTATTAGTATAAATAGGACTATTGGGTCTGTATTTTGTAGTACATTTATTACACACCATAACAATATAATATTATTATTCTGGTGTGTTTTTTTTGGTCTGTCTTCCTCCTTCCCTATCATAACCAAATTTCAACAATTTCTAACAGAGAAACAAATATAATGAATTCTCTCTGTACCTTCAGGTTGTACATGTTGTGGATGCAACAGGAAGACTTGATGAAAGGCAGAATCCTGTATCATATGTATCTTTATCTTCTACTACTCCTGGAAATTTGAACAAGGAGGTAGAACAGATTAATGAAGGTTTTGTATGTGGTAAAGACAAAACAGTTGATTTTGTGTCTTTCTCGGTCAAATATGGTTGTTGGACCTATAAGGACACTGTAAGTGGCTGGAGCAACACAGATATTCCTACAATGCATGTCGAAAGCGATGCTAAAGGAAATGGAAGAATTACACAAGTTTCAATCAATACAAAGGGTTCTATCCGTTGGGTTCTTGCAATCAATACAGAAGAAATAGAAGATTTCCAGTTTAAAGGTACTGATTTTTTTGTTAACAAGCATATTCATTGTTTGTCGATATGTATAACTCTTCATCCATTAACTTTTTTCCTTTTTTGGTTTGTAATTGTGTTACTAAATGATGCTATCACGACCAATAGTTTAATCATCTGATTGTCAAAAAATAGGCCAACCCAAAGTTCAGTCATATATATATAGTCATGAACTAACTATCCTAAAAGCTTAGCTATTAGATTAAGGCACTAACTATCCTAATGTTTATATTTATTATGATATGTTTTAAAGCCTGAAGTTGTGTTTTTCACTCTATGTTCAACCTCAGATGCAAGGAACTCTGAAGAATTAATTTCAGTTGACAAAAAGAGTAGTGTGGATGGTTGGCACATGATTCAGTTTTCTGGTGGAAAGAATGCACCAACATTGTTTGATCTGACTCTTTACTGGAGGTCAGGTTCAACTCATAACACTGATAGTCCTCTTCTGAAACTTAGGACTGATGTGAACAGATTAACACCAATAACTGAACGAGTTCTTAAGAAGCTTCCTCTTTGGTGTTCTTTGTTTGGCAAGTCTACCTCTCCTCAAACCTTGGCTTTCTTGACAAATCTTCCTGTTAATTTTTAGGTACTTTAACTGTATCCTTGATTTCTAGATGGAGTTATGACCAAAACTGTGACATGTTTTTTTTGGAAATATTCCAATCGGTTCATCGCTTCGCAACTAATCCGATTCGGGGCAAGTTCATGATTAAGGCTTTAAACCCTTCCCAAAACTGTGACATGTTAAACAATCTTTTAGTATAAGCAGTCAATATCATAGGGGTTCTGATTCTTTAATACCATTTTTGTCCTGCTTCTTGTAAAATTCAAGTATATTTAATTGTCGATGATCATGTGTTTAACGCCTTTAATTATGGGATGAAATAGAATTTGGACTTCTGGCACATTTATTTATTTAGGCCGTGTTAGCCCAATGGTATCATTTTTGACGGGTTTCTTTGTATAATTTTGTAAGCAAAATTGTTTTATTAATTTAAAAATGTTTAAATTTTTTTTATATCAATTAGATAATTTTAAAAAATAAAAGACTTTAAACAATTCATTGTAATACTTTTCTTGAAAATTTAAAATAGTAATTTTGAAAAAATTATGAAAACGGTTATATCATAAAAAATTTAAAGCCTAAACAAACACATCCCTAAATAAACATTTCTTTGTAAATATGCTTTTGCTGTAAGCTCTGTTATGTTAGTACTTATTGAACTATTTATTCAGACCCAAATTTTAGTATCGTGAGAAAGAATTAATTTCATAGTAAAAGAATGTGAGACTAAAAGTTAAAGATAGCATTCCAAATTGCTTTTCACGCCATCTACCGAAGTTGAGTTTAATATTTTGACTTTACCCTATGTGAAAAAAACATTTAACGTAGCACAAGATTTCAGATATGCTGCCTCTTTATAATTTAAATTAACAAAAAAAAAAAAAAAAAAAAAAACTTATAAAGTTGGGCACACTTGATAGTTATTTTTTGCCGGAAGATACCCTAAGTTCTACTCAAAAAAAAAAAAAAAAAAAAAAACTGTATGACTATCAAAATATGAACCTATAAAAGATTAATTTCTATGAAGAAAATCACGGTAATGGACTTCTATTTTGTATTGAATAAAATTACTGTGTCGTAATAAATATACTCTAGTTTGTTTTGTTTTATGAGCACTGAGAATAGGCAATGGATGGCAAGGTTTGTCACTATTCAGATCGGGTAAGAAATGCAAGGTCTTTCTACTTCCACGCTACATATGGGTTGTTTCTAATTAACTAAATGAAAAACCAGAAAAAAAAAAAAAAAAAAAAAAAACGCAGGAGCACATGATATGGAGCTTTTTTTCTTTTAACTCATTCAAATTTGGAATCTCGTTTATTTAAATATGGCTAGGATGATTAATTTTGGATGTAAATATAGTAGTGTCATTTCACGTAAAAGTTCTTGTTTCTTTACTATATAAACCAAGCACACAAATAACTTTTTTATGATAAATTATACCTCTTGAAATAATCTTTATTAAAAATGTTCAAGTAACATAAATCATGCTTCTGAACAAAATTAAATTGAAACAAAAATTTTGTACCCAGAACAAATAAAAAAAAAATTCCTAGTAACAGACAGGAATAGGAAAAAATCTATATAGGCATGGATGGAGATTCAATGCATTTAGATTTAAGTCTGGTCTCTTTGGCTGTCGGTGTCAGATGACCCCACAAATTTGGAAATGATTGTAACTTAATCAAACTTGTAAACAAAATCAATTTGTAAGCTTAGTTAATCAAAGTTCTTGCACTTCTCATGTCATGAAGAATCTTAGGATTCTTTTGAGTGAGTAGAGAGACCAAGACAACCCTCCACGAAATGCGGTCAATTCCTCTGGGAACCTCTGTATCTCCAACTCCTATAAACACCTCAAAAATCTCACCTTTTAATATTAATTTTAAGAAGTCAACCACTTTCCCATATTGGGTTTCACCTCCCTCTCATGAATTCTCTTTCCTTTCTCTCTCCCAATCAGGTACCTTTTTTTTTCTTTTTTTGTTGCATATTTGGTTGGCTGTTCTTTTTAGGTTCAAAACTTAGTTACACTGATGATGGGTTATGCATATTTTAACTTTTTTCTTCTTTTTCTGTTAGTTATTTTCTCTTCAAGGAATTCAGTAAAATGGGTTGTTGAATTTGTTTTATTTGCACATCTGTGTCAAACCCTTTAGTTGTTATTAGATGAATTGGATTAATGGCTGGCCACTTGAAGTTTATCCAAGTCTTGGAAATCCGATGATGTCTGAGAAATTTGAACTCCGTGGTCAACTTGTCCTACTAGGAAGATTAGCAAGAGAAAAATGTTGGGAAAATGGATAGATGCATGGAGGCATGATTGTAAAAAAATAAAAAAATAATGGACTTTTGAGTTAACTTTGCTAGGAACTAAAGCTGTGTGGTGTTTGGATGTAGGATTATGCAGAGCCAGTCAAGTTGTTGATTTGTTCCCAACTGTGTCTCCTGAAATTATTGTGAGAGAGGCAAGGATAGAGGACTGTTGGGAAGTGGCAGAGACTCATTGCAGTTCCTTCTTCCCTGAATATTCCTTCCCATTAGATTTTGTGCTGAGGATGGACAGATTGGTGGCTATGTTAGCTGGATTCTCTGTACCAAATGGTTGCAAAAGAACCTGTTTGGTTGCTGTTATTGGCAGCACACTTTGTGAAACTTTCTTATTTGGAAGTGAAGATTTCAAGATTGGTGGTTTTGATGGGAAATTCAGCCTCAACAAGGGATATGTGGCTGGTATATTAACAGTTGATACCGTTGCAGATTTTCTACCTAGAAAGGGGCCATTGCGACAGAGAAGGTGAGTTAAAGCTTGCTTCTGGAACTTGGATTAGTGACGACTTATGTGTCTTTAGGTTTATGACATTAATTTTATCTATATTGACTGTTACACCAAACAAAATAATTGTAATCTGGAAAATGTTTTCTGCACCAAGTTGATGAAAATGATTTCTGAAAAGTTTTTTCTACTCCAAACACCAAAAAAAAAAAAATACTGGATATTTTCATAAAGACTTGTTCTGTTAAATAATACACCTAGCATGTCCAGTTAAGTCTCAAACTAATTAATAACCATATGACATCCCCATATGACATAAAACTTGTCTGTCATTTGTATTATGTTGTAAAAATAACTTATTACAATGTTCTTTCAATTCACATCCACAGTTTATTCTTGGTTAATTTTTAGCCTTTCACTTGTTTAAAATTGAAGCTCGGGTCCTTTCAGATTGATCACCTTGGTAAGAGTCACTTGCCTTTAAACTAGATGTGCCAAAAATCTTATTTGATGCCTTACATTGAACCCTCCGTTACCCTTCAAAGAGGTTAAGTTCTGACTTTTCTAATTATGTAGAAGGGTGTTATTATAATATTCTTGGTTTACATTTCATTTTACTGATGAATCCTTGCTGATGGCTATAAATTTATTTATTTTTTTTTTGAAAAAATGTTATTGTAGGACTGGAATTGCATACATATCAAATGTGGCTGTCCGGGAAAAATATAGGCGGAAGGGAATAGCTAAACAATTGGTAGCTAAGGCAGAATCACAGGCCAGAAGTTGGGGCTGTCGTGCTATTGCATTGCACTGTGATTTCAGAAATCCCGTGGCAACAAAATTATATCAAAGCCAAGGTTTCAAATGTATCAAGGTTCCAGAAGGAGCTACTTGGCCTCAACCAAAGACCTCACCGGATATTAAGTTTAACTTTATGATGAAGCTTCTCAACAACTCAGCAGCTTCTAAATCTAATTAGGAGGAAATATTTACGTTGTAAAACATAAATGGATTTCAAGAAAAAGAAATGTACCAGGAGGGGACCGTTTGTTACTAAAATGTGTATATAAGTAAACCAAGGAATTGGATGAAAAATCACTTGAGAACCTTTTGTATAGTTACTGGCATTCTTTTGTATCTCAGTGCAAACAGATAAACAGCTATGAACAGAAATGGAGTAAGAATAGCCGAGCAATTTTCAACTCCTTATCGAATTAAAAATTTGTATGGTACACATCTTATTCATTAATTTTCTATTCAGCACACAAATTGTCATTCCATTTTTTCTTTTTAAATTTCTATATTTTCTCATTTTTCTTGTAAAGATAGATAGAAAGGCCACATGCACACATCCTGCCAGTGAGCCTATGAGTCCAAAGGCATTATCAGAAGACAGTCAATAATACTCAATGCAAAGCACAACAAAATTACACCACAGATACTGATGACATAGCTCTCAAATGGGATGTCACTAAAATTCTATAGTAGAGATCTCTAATATTTCTAATCATGGACAACTGACCATACTCTTGACACCTCATATGGTGGTAATTCTGGTTCACTAGGACTGTGTGCTTTGATTCACCCCTACTTGCTGCTGAAGTGGGTAAAGAGAACCCTCCTTTTATAATGCAAAAATAGAAGCAAAAGCATTTCCAGCATCCAACTAAATTCTCGTATGAAGCATCAAATTATGATGCTCCCACAAATTTGTTCAAGGCTGATGTGTCTAAACCTGCAAACTCCTTTACAGCTGCAAGCACAGCAAGTCCAAGCTTCACAGCATCGTCATTACTTGGTGCCTGCAGTAACGAGTATTTTCATTTTGAATTAGTTGCAATGTTTTAATATTGCATACAGAAAATCCAACACGAGCTGTGAGGACCTTTTACCTCAATGTTAAGGGGAAGAACAGGATCATGAAGTGATAGTCTAAGAAGGAACCATCCACCATAGCCAGAAACTCGGACCTGATTGAATATTTAGATCAGTCAAGCTATAAATTATATTGGAAACAAAAGAACAGTAAACCAATCTTTGCAGGTCAGAAATTTGCACACTGGTCTCGTATTGTATGCTATTTCCAATTCAGGAAATGTGTTAGTCATAATTGTTTCAATAGTTTCTCACTGAAAAATTTATGGTCAATGCTAATTAAACAGGCTTAAAATCTAGGAATGAGCAGGGCCATGCATACCCCTTCAAAGTTTACAGGAGCCTTTTTCAGGCTTGGATCAGAGCCAATTGAGTTCTCCAATTGCTTCAGCACAGCTTCTCCATATTCCCGAAAAGATCTGAAAGCTCTGGCATGTCAGTGAATTCATAACATAAACATATGGATGCATGCAAACAGTTTATATACTGACGTACCCTCCTTTAAGATCTGGATGGTTTTGGTTTATCTTTAATCTTAATTCTACAGCAAAAGCTGGTTCCTGGAGTCCTTCAATTAGATTAGTCAAAACCTTGCTTCCACCCCCCATTCCTAAAGCTCTTGCAGAAGCAAGTTTATTTAAGATCTTCACCTGCAAAATACATGGTCACATATTAAAACTAATCTTGTGACCTTGCTTAGCTTATGCTTTTAGTTTAAGCAGTTTTTAACATAACACCAGAACCTCTGACTCAACGATTTATTCTTTGAATCTACAGCCTGGTTCTATATTCACATTCTAATACAAGGTAGTGTCAGGTTAAGGACAGTTTGGTGCAAAGTAGAGGTGCATATATGCTTTGTCCATGTTCGAAACTTGCTGAGCTTTAAGATCATATTAGTGTAAAATATCATTCGGCACTCTTTCTTAACAGCTTAAGTGGTCATTTAAACAGTCCCTGAATAAGTATATTAATGTCATAAGAAAAGAAATGATTATCAGAGAATGATTAATTTGGCGATTATTTGTTTTACCCTATATGACTACAGGAAAAGCCTACCATTAGGTATGCACCATCGTCAAGCCAATGATTCTCCTTAAGAGCTCCATGTCCACTGGTTTCAATTGCTAAATGTGACTCCTCGCCAACAGAGTTCTGTCAGCAATATTGCTTCCATAGGTCAAATATTTAACATATTGTGAAAACAGGAAATTTAAAAGTTACAAAATTATCAAAAGAAACAAAATGAAATATACATGACAGAAGCCAAGTATTTTATTATGCATAACTTCTGTCAAACTGCTGCTGTTTTGCAATTCATCCACTGATCAACGAGTGGTGAGAGTTTGATGGGACAAGTCCTACTAATAGGACTCATTTAGAATTTGAAATCATGGTACAGTCAATCATTCAGATGAAAGGCTTTCATTGGTTAACTAACAAAAATGTAAAAATTATTTAATTATAGGCAAGTATTCATCATACCAAACGAATAGCTTCATCGATGACATTTTTGTAGCCTCTTTTGAACCGATGGTGTTTGCCACCTGAGAAAATATAGCATTAGCAAGTTATTAACACTATATTTCTGAACTCAAAGTAATTTTCACTTCAAATTGAATTCTTATAACCTATCATTATCTCTTTAAGGGAGAAGTATAGACCAAAGATCATGCCAGTTTAGATTCCTCCATACCAAGTTTCTTCTCAATAAAAGTGGTAAGGCCATCAGAAGTCACACTGTCAGTGACAATAGTTGTTCCAGGATGCTAGGGAAAATGAGAGAAAGAAAAGATTTAAGAGGCATTATACAGAGAAGTGTAATGTTAAAAAACTAGGTCTAAGATAGCTAAAAATAAGAGCCTTACTTCTTCAAGAACAATAGCTGCCATTAAGGCAATCAAACGATTCCGGTTGAATTCACGGCCAGTGGAATCCACAGCAGCAGATCTAGATGAAAGTGATTGATTTTTTAAAAATTAAAACAGTAGGCATGTCAGTGAAACGGATTAGTAAGAAGATCCTTACCTGTCCACATCAGTATCAAAGATAATTCCAAGATCAGCTTTGTTATCAAGGACTGCCTGGGTTATAGCTTTCATTGCTGTCTTGTCCTCAGGATTGGGGATATGATTTGGAAACAAACCTGAATACAGAAGCCATTGTTATTCAAAGTCCAAGTACCACACCCAGCTGAAATCATTCCTCAAAATAAAGTTATTACCATCTGGCTCCAAAAATTGACTACCAGAAGTTATTGCCCCCAGAGGTTCCAGAACCTTCTCCTGATTATTGACCAAAAAAAAAAAATCCAATATCAAGCTTGATGCAAGAGCCAAAAACCTTAACCAGAAAACATGTTCTAAAATTCTGTATGATTCCAAATTACAGACAAAAATTTTATGTCTGACTGAAGGAAACTTGATGCAGCATGGGAAAGGGAGCCAGATAGCTGTTTAAATTGGATCTTAGTTAATATTCTCAAGTGCAGTACCTTATTCAATTTGACTAGTAGAACATAATTACTTTGGTCTAGAGTTGAATAACTTTTGCAATTAATTCATTAGTTTATGACTGATTGGTCTTTCCCAGTACACACAAACGTGAAAGTTTAGAAAAATTCCAGAGCAAAAGCTCTATTCTTAAAACATTTCAGAAGATATATTATTTAAATTCATAATATAAAAATCCACCATAAAATATTTGTTCAGCTGGTTTCACTTCTAAGATTCCTTGCCAAAATCATGAACCCTAGTTCCAGATCTCGATAGTAGAAAATATCGAAGTTCATAAAACATTCCCAATAGATATATTCCACTATAGGTTCTCCGTTCTAGATCAGTTTCAAATAGTGTGCATTTTAGTTTTATAATTTGGTCTATTGAAGGTTTGTAAATCATATACTTGTAACTTATGTTTTACAGAAAGATCAAACACATACATAATTAAATTAACTAGAACTGTCTTAATATAGGGCAACACTGTTCAACTCTAAGTACAGATACTGCACTTCACATGGTGTTGCGATATAATAAAAACACATGAATCTATATCTAAAAGTCAATTTTTACGTAATTATTAAGTTGAAGAAAAGAGTTGCTAACACTTGAGATTTTTCATTTCTTACCAAACAAAAATCAATTAAGATTTTGTTCCTCTGGTATACTGATACATAATCTTTTTGATAGATAGGTCAAGTGAAAATGCCTTGTACTAAAAATTTATTTAAGAAAAAAAGTTAAGGAGATTATAATGGCCACTTACTGCAAAAAATCCTCCTGCTCCGTTGCCTGCATCAACAACTATATGGAAACCCTCTAATGGCTTCTCTGTGGACAGTCAATGCAATACAAAAATTAGCAAACAAGATCAAAACATTCAGAAAATCAAAGACAAAAGGAAGAACTATATATTCTACAAGAAAAAATGAATCATAAAGACATCACGTCTTTCAATTACAATTCCCTTGTTTGTTCCCCTTCATTTAAAGAACAGCTCATTAATTATATCTCCAAATATATTGATTATCATAACAACACTTCAGCGAAGTCATACCTATGTTTCCAGCTGCTACGCGAACTGCCTTTACTAGATCAGATGTATACACAGTCATGTAATCAACTCTCTTAATAGATAATGAAGCCTTTCTCTCTGAATTCATTAAACTTTCTTCTGTAAATTGATTGTATATGTCTGCAGCTCGCTCTAAGATATCTTTGATGTCAGCCTTCCCAAGCCCACCATCATTGGTGAAAAACTTGAATCCATTCCGGTTGAAAGGCAGATGACTCGCTACTCACCAGAATGAGACAATTAAAATTTAATAGATGAATTAGTATCCACATTTATTTATCCATCAAATTAATTTTATAATTATCAGAATCAAATTGAAATTCACTTAAAATTTTCATTCACAACCGATGGACATCAACAAACAAGAAATAATAAACAATACATGAACAATGTACAGCTAAAAGAGAGAACCACTCAACCTAACAACTTAAGATTTTGGTATAGAAAGTTCCTTGACATACTATGTCAGCTTTCATGTGCAAATTGGTTGTGTTTGATCCCTGCTAGCCACATTCTCCATGATTCACTACAGTTTTAATCAGGAGGCTGTGCTATGTGATGAGACCAATTTTTATACACTAAATTGCCTTATACTTAACCTCTTTGAGACTCTTTTATGCTTAACTGATTGATGCTAATTTAGGGAAATTGAGCTCAATTGGAACATGTTGAAATTTTTTGTTTAACTAAGCAAAATTCAAAATTTCTCAAACAATATATGTATTTTTAGCATAACTTTGCGTTGGGAAGTTGTAAATTTGTCAAATTTCCAAAAAGACCAAGACGACATCAATAGGATATTCACAAGTTATGCTCAAATTACACAGAAAGTTTGAGAAATTTTGAATTTTGTTAAGTTAAAAATAAATTCCAACATGGCCCAATTCAGCTCAACTTTCCCAAATTGTGATTAATATCACTTAATTCAGCATAAAGAGACTCGAGGAGGTTAAATATGAAGCAATTTAGTGTATAGAAATTGATCTCATCATTATGGCCATGGTCTACTACAAATCAATCTAAGAGAGCTTTTGCATAAAACAGCATGTTAAACAAAAAAGCTATAGCTTCTAGGATGAAATTAAGACAAGATTTTCAACAACTACGACGTTTTAAAGGTTAGAATAATGTCATTTAGCTACAACTTCATAATGTACCTGTTATCATAATAGCCCCATCAACAGGACACAAAAATGCTTCATCTTTCGTGAGTGTGCTATTGAACATGGCTGGTGTTGATGCTAATCTATAAAGATAACAATAGTATTTATTCATCAGGCCATCAAAATAGTCAGGATAGTAAGTATCCACAGTAATGTCAAATGAATGTCACATTTACTAAAACAGAAACACAAGGAAGTAGTATCATATTTGACCCACTGAATTAATCAAATGGCTATCAACAAAAGATCCAATCAAGAGACAGCTAAACTTCAGCATTACCAATAATCATATAGTATGAAAATAACAGTAACCGTTTAATAGTCTTAGATTATAAACTCAAGAGTTTTCCATATGGAGGTGATTAGACATGAGCTATAACCAAATAGTTAAGTGAAAAACAGGCTCAACAATAATCTAGAAGCAAATTCAAAATGACCCAATATTTGTCCAATTACCCGGCACATATTTGTCTAAAATTGTTGTAATCAAGCAAGTATACTTCCAATCAAAAACTCTTTCCACATATATCAACAAATATTTCCAGAGAGATACAGAGTTACAGACCATTTGCTCACAAAAATAATCATCAAATAAATTTTATTTTCCGTGTATGACATCTATAAAACTAATACGAAGAGTAGAAATGCCAACCCCAAACCAATGCAGATTTTCTATTTTGATTTAGATTTCCATTTTCCCACTTCTCCTAATATAGTAGACCGTTTCAAGTTTTTTTCTTTAGTTGTAGACTCAAATCTCCTATCCCCAGGTGAAAAACTTTCCAACTGAGAAACAAATAACACCTCACCAATTTAAAAACAAATTACACTCCAGTACAAACCCAATGTAATATCTAGCATGTACCTTACCAATTTTAGTTTTTCTCGACAATTAAAGTAAACCCATCACCACTACCATCCTCAAAATCTAATTCTAATTCTAATATACTAAGTTGGAATGGAACGTATCATGTTAAATTTCACATGACCTTGTCATGTGAAAATTTTTGTATCTTTCACTTTATAAATATTCACAAATTTTAATAAGACCCTGCCTATTCAATGCTTATAAAGATAAAGAGAGTAAAAGAAACAAAATTTTCACATGACTTTCAAAATTTTAACATGAGAGGATCCATTCCCTATGCTAAGTGCTCATTGTTCACCTTCTTCAATAATTTCTCCCTTGTTCACAAGATTCAACTTCAAAAAAAATAATAATAATAAATACATAAATAAATAATTACATTAAATACTACATTTTAATAAAACTATAACACTAGAACAAAATTTATTTAAACCATACACGGATGATGCCAAAGTTTCCACCTTCAAACCAAAACTTTATGCTATATTTGATGAGATTAATAACCCATGGTAGAATACATAGATCTTAAAAATCAGAGTCAAATTAAAGGCATCTGTTTGGCCAGGTGACTGTTGTAATTAGGGTTCAAAACCAATGACTTTACAAGTCCTCGTGCAAATCAAAAACATATAAATAATTGATGCTAAAATCATAAATATCACCCACCCATATTGGATAACTTCTAGTCCAGCACTAGCAAGACCTCGAGAAATCGCATTCTGAAATTTGATAAGTTGATAACCAAGTAGTCAGCTATAGACAAAGGATCAAATAGCAAGCTATTTAAATACATGCATGCTCTCAAACTAGGAAAGTTTTATAGAAAGATCCTTTTATGAATACTTTCCATTCACTTCAAATTACAAAATCTTTGAAAAATAAAATTAAGTTTCTGTTATGCAAAGTCTCCAAAGAAGGAAATAAAAGTTAGAATGAAGTGTCCAACCTCTTTCAAGTTTCAATCCAAAAGATTGACTTCTAGTAATATAAAGCAACAGATTTTCAAATTCATATTGTTCATTCCAACTTTCATGCTATCAAAAAGTATGCATTTCATTAAGGCAATGGACTTCTATTAAATTGTATTTAGTTTCAAAACCATTATAAAATTTACACACAGTAAACAAAGCCTTTTTATATATTAAAGGTAGACTGTAAAAAAACTTAACCAAATGATATAAGGAATGATATAGACCTGCAATAATTTGGCTGATATTCGGGAATCATGGCCAATAGAAACTCTCAAATTCTGAGAAGCATCTGCTTTCTTTTTCTCCCCTAACCATGCAGCAAAAGCAGCTCCTATTGCTTCAGCAACAGGTTCAGCGAGGTTCAATGGCTCTCCCTCAACACCATCAACAGCCACACCGCGTATGTCACTGTTTAAATCAATATCATTTATAAGTTATACCCAAGTTTAGCATGCAGGAAGTAAGAACCAATACATGCTGACCATCTAAATAAAAAGGAACAAAGGATGGGCTTATGCAGCTGAACGCTTTCCTAAAATTACTCTCTACTATATACAGTCATTATTGCAGTGAAAGCAAAAAGATTATGGGCTTGATTGAAATCAGTTTTCAAAAACAGTTTTTTGATTTTCAGAACAAAAAAAACCCGTTTGGTAAGGCCTGTTTTGTAAAACAAAAATAAAAAGCTGTAACTGTTTTTTTTGTTTTTAGAATCAAATTTAGAGAACATGTCTGGGTTGTTTTTGTTTTCTGTTTTGGTTTTTAACTTTCAAAACAAAAATCCATAACACAATCAAACAGGCCCTATAACGCCATTATCAATGAATTGTCCATGAAATGGTTAATCTTTTAATTTTGTGTTTAGTGGTAAAGAAAGTACATTCTTCAGAATAAAGTAGAATACGATTTGTTTTATTTTATCAACTCTTTTGTCTAAATGCTATCATGCACCATATAGATTGGGTACAGTGATTAACAAGGTATTGGGAAGGAAAGAAGCAAAGAGGTTTATACTTTATGCCATGTCCAGCTTGTTTCCACTTTTACCAATGAGAACTTTTACGGAGTATATTTGTTTCCTTTTTCACTCAGTCTTTCTCTTTCTCTACATATATAACAGAGACACACCATCCTTTGAGCAAAATAAGTTATGGAAAACCACAAGGCACGAGCAAATTTCTATTAAGATGAAGATTGTCAATCATGGTAAAATAAGATAAAGAAAAGCGGAAAACAAACAAGAAAAAATATGCCACTGGAGGATTAGAATAGTTAGCAATGTAAACTTATTAGCCTGCTAGTAGTCAAGTGGTTCTGACCTGCCATTTTGAAGCCTTAGAAAATCAACCTTGTCTAGATATGGTACTGCAGTAGCAGATGCAGAAGCTGCAACAAAGGTCCAAACGGAAGACAAAAACATCCATTAGGAAATGAAGTAGTTAAAAGCTGCAAAAAGGTAAAGAATAAAACCAATTCTGTTTGAATACATATGAAATGAATGCCTATATACAACTACTGATATATTAGTACATGTTGTTCGTGTAAAAAGCTTGGGAAGGAAGGGTGGAAGAGAGCAATATTTTGAATGTGTTTAAAATACATGATTTTTTTATTATTTTATTTTTCACTTCATAATATCAACCTGTATAATGGGAGTCAAGAACAGACCATTGCAGTGAATATTTCTCTGGATAATAAAATCATTCAGGGGTTTTGATAAAGTGCGCAATTGCATGCCATTCCATGCCAACTTCCCTAGTGGAGAGGGAAGCAAGTTGCGCATATAAGGGTCAAAATAGTCCCTTCGACTCTGTGAACCGAACTTTCTATTCTGTTGGTAGCACTGTTGTGACACAAAAACATTTTGGACAATCTTCCCTGATGTTGCTGCATATAAACATTTACACCTTTATCAGATTCCACATTTCCAGCTTCATAAAATCTCTTTCTTTCTCTCATTTTCCTATCTAACAATTTTTCCATCAATGCTATCTTTCTCTCATTTCATGAAACTTCTAGCAGCAGTAGCACCCCCCAACACTTCCAATTTCAACAATTTTTCAATCAAAATGGCTTTTATCATTCCTTTAACAATGATTAGTCTTTTAAACCCTTCTTAAATGATAAGATTTATTTTTTAAGAAAAATATGTTATACGGGAACGAAAAATGGGGAAAAAAGAAAACATAATTTTAACAATCATAGCATGTGATTGAAGGCACAAATAGAATAGAGATGGCAAAGTTAAGAAGGGAAGAAAGAAAGGAAATGGAAATTGACCTGCCATGTGATCCAAGTTGCAGAGTGAGTTGACGGAGAAGTTGAGATGGAAAGTGGAACAACTAGAGTGAGTTGGTGTGGTGTGGTTGTGTTGTGCCTAACTATGTTTTGTTTTTACTTTTTTCTACAACCTTCCTTCCACCAACTCAACCATGCTACAACTCTTGCACGTGTTACACTTACACCCACGTGATTGTCACAACCTTATTTTTGTCGGATAATGTAACACTTCGTGTTATTAACAGGATGATTATGCATCGAATTTATTGAATTTTTAATAGTATGCGCTCAAGCCAATGAAATTACGATCCACCTTCTCCTCAACATTTACCCTAATCTTGAAATACGAAAAGTTTCCTTCTTGAAATACCCTAATGTTGTAGTTTGTCCTTTAACATGACACAAAAAGATTTCTTACACACATACTATATTGTGGGGCCCGTACTTTTTAAAACAAAAAAAAAAAAAATTAAAGCACGCAAAACGAATCTCTATAACATTACACCTCATTATTTCTACGACATAACTCTTATAAAACCCTTCTAAGTATGCCAGACATTTGGTTGATTCTTTATTCTTATTTGTGTTCTTCATTTTTATTTGGAAAAAGTGTGTATCATTTTATTTTAAAGGATATAAAGTTATGTCATTTTAAGATAGAGAGAAAGAGATAGATAAAGGAGAAAAAAGAGTTAACAAAAAATATAAAAGTGTAGGTCTCATCTCTTTATAAGAGTGAAATGACACAAGTTATGCCATTTAAAAGAATAAACACTTTTTCTTTTTCATTTTATTTTTGTTTAGGATTTCAACTTTCAGGTTATTTTTTATTCGTGAACTGAATTCGTATTTGTTTGACTTGAAATGGTAGACCTGCATGGGACTTTTGTATTGATGCATTAGACTGCACTTATCTCTATTTGTCTTTTGTTTGCAGTTGAGAATTGAGAATATCCAAGAACATTCGAAGGCCAGTTTGTACAATATAGGACAAAGCTGGTGGCTTCTCATATTAGGGATAGACCAACTTGGACTTGTTCCGTCATTTGCATGGATTATGTCTAAGGTTATCTTCTCGTCTGTTTTTATAATTTAATCATATTTTCCATAATAAATTAACATAAGTAATTTAAATAGTGATTGAGATAAAATATGATAGATCCATCCGAAGCTCAAATACATATAACAAAGGCCCAGAGTGGGGCGCGATGGCTTATATCGCGCATAATATGGCGCGAGGCCACCATCGCACATGTAACCTCCTTTTTACATAACTTCAGAGATAGGGAAGCAAGCTCAAGAACTAATAAAGGTCCACCGCGCCTTTGAACAAGTAAACAGAAGACAGATCCAGCTTGCCACCACTTTATCAAGGTAGACTGACATCAAGAGATAAGGCTATTAAGGCATTATCAGAACCTGCAGCCCTTGAACAGCCAATCAGAGGTCATACCGTCTTTCTAAGGTAACATCAGAACCACTATATAAACAGAGGGTACATGCCCAGGTATTATCATATAATTCATTAAAAATACACATAAATCTGACATTGATACTGACTTGAGCGTCGGAGTGTCATTGCAGATATCCCCAGTCAAGCTCACCGCGCCGAAGGAGAACCAAAGTCTTATCATCATCAACATCAACATTCACCAGTCCATAATATAAATTACCTAAAATCTTTCTCACTTCAACCGTGTGTGATTTGACTCAATACACTTTGGCTATTCCATATTGTATTTGGTATGATCAAATAGATATTTCCTTTTTTATATTGTTTGCTTCCTTTGTCCAACTTTTCTTTAAATATATCATAATTATGAGTTTAATAAAATATAATTACGAATATAATAAAACAAAGAAGAGAAAATGGTCATTTCAATTCTTGATCAATGATTTATTAATAAAAATAATGGATGAATAATATTTTAGCACACAACATGATCATATTAACATAAGACATAAGATGATGCTCTCTCAATGGTCCATTAATAAATAAACGGTTAGGAATTGAAATGGCCATGCGGATTAAATTTTATAAATTATATTCTTTGTTTGGTACATTTTGAAAATAGAATAGAATGGGACATAAGAATAAAAAAACTTGCATTTTAATTTCATTAAAAGAAATAAAATCAAGAAAAAATGAAACATAACTTTTTTTTTTGGCAGTTGAAACATAACCTTTTTATGCTGTTTTACCTTGCGTCAAACGCCACTTAAGTCTTATATTTTGCTTCCACTTGTTGAGGCCCATGGCCTGTGAACTCTTGGGCTGCTCCTGCTTTGGTAAAGAATACATATCGATGTCAAACAAAAGGCCAGCCCAGATGGCAATCATGGACTTTTTTAGGTAAACAACAATCTTGGACTTAAGATAATGCACCCTGACCAATTTGACTTTTTGGGCTCCGTTTACATATGAAGCCCATTAATGAGCTAAGGAAAAATCACCTGCCCAAAAAAACAAAAAACAAAAACGAGTAGGGATGTCAAAACAGGTTATGACAAGCGGGTCGACTCGCGACACGATACGAAAATTCATGTTGAAAAAAATGACCTGCAAAAATTTGTGTCGTGTCGTATAGTGTTAAATTCATGTCGACCCGTGTTTTTTTAATTATTTTTAAAATTTTGACACATTTTTTTAATTTTTTTGGTCAATTATTGTTTTGACTCATAGTTTGCATGTAGTTTGTGTCGTATCATGTTAACCTCCAAAAATTTTATGTTGTGTTTATTTTTCGTGTATTCGTATTTTATGGACCGACAATTCTAAAAACGAGTAATAACGGTAACATTTTAGGGATAGAGATAAATTTCACATCACTGTTGTCTATCTCTCATATTACCGTGACAAACAAAGACTTTAAAGCAAATATTTATCTTTTATTAGTGATAATTTACCGTTGGCTTAGCCCATAGTCCAATAAGTATTAAGGTCATAGACTTCTTTAAGGATATTTATTTTGTGTTAGATATGCATTGTTAATTTATTATTATATGATATCATTTATTTAAAAAAATCAATACTGATATTTTATTGCAAGTAAACTTTTTAAAGCATTCTAATAATTTTATCGGTCATTTATTGATAATGTAACTTATAGAAGATGAATTAAACTCTGGATCATACTTTGAACTTCTCAAGTCAGCGTAGAAAAAATTGCATCAAGCCAGTTTTGCAAGAATTGAAGTTCTTCATATGAGTTATATTCACAATTCTATCTCTGAATTAATTGCTTACAGACAGTCAACTCCACAGCCAGATGACAACCTAGAGCAAATTCACATCCATGTTTGAAACTGTTACTTTTGACTTTTATTTTTGGGGTGCCTACTTATGACTTAACCAATATGAACAGCTTGTTCATTTCGATGTTCCATGTCTATACTATTTTATTTTATTTTATTTTTTTTATCAATTAAAAATGAATACTTGATCGAGCAGATATAGAACCAGTTGAAATTGACAATTGACAATTGACAATCACCAATCCCAATGTGGGAAATCTGATATCTTTAGTTGACTTGTGAAGATGTCCTTGAAACCCCTCGGGATCCCAAAAATAATTAACATGGCAGGTTTAGCCAACTAATTCCAGCCCTTATAATAAATCAGCATTAACATTCACATGCAAACCTTATAACTTCATATTAAAGTATTAAACAAGTGTACATAATCTTTGTCCAACACAAAAACACAACTTGTGCCGTTGTTGGAGGAATGAAATAGCTGAATTGAGCTGTGTTTCTTGACCTTTGTATGTATATCACTTTTTGAGCTGTTTATATTATAATAATAACGTTTCACACACAAACACACACACATTTTTATATATAAATTAACATGACTGACTGGTCATAATAATCTGAACTTCGTGTTAGCAAAAAAGAAAAAGAAAAAAAGATATAACTGAGATCCCAAGGGATCATTTACTCTATTCCTGTAACTGCGGCATACTTGGGGATCGGAATGTGGATTACAAAGCTATTCGTCCCCGCGATTCCTTAGGCGCAAGAGTAGCTTTTAGTTGCGTTAGCATTTATTGTAGCGTCATGTGTATGCTGCTTCTTCTTCTTCTTTGCTTTGTTTCCATTTTTTAAGAACAACTTTCTTACATAACCATAAAATGTGTACGTGTTTGCAGGATAATTGGTCGAGCCATTGGTACATACCAATTGTATTCTTTACATTAACCATATTAAAAACTATTGCTTAATTTTATTTTATTTTATGAATTTATCATCTACATTTGTAACAATTGTGTTAGAGAAATATAAAATCATTAGAGATATATAAAATTATTAATGTAGTCTTATCTATTAGCTTAATCTTTTAAGTTGAATTGATTCTTTACAAATTGTATCATCTAAGTGCTTAAGTAAGTAAGTGAAGGCTCAATCAATGATTTTTTCTTCGCTTTGATATTATGTGAAAAAGTAACCATATCACCTAAAAGCTTATGGCAGTAAGTGAAGGATCAATCAATGATTTTTATATTAAATCTCTTGAACAGTTGTGTTAATCAATAGTGAAAGTGAATTTTCAAATATAAAAATATAATTTAAATGAATTTAAATTTCATTAACTAAAATATCCCAAGCCAACTTTAATATCCTTGTAATTGCTCTAATTTTTTTTTATTATAGTAAATGTTTAGATAAACTTGTGTGCATTTTGACTAATTTAACTCTCGAGATTTAAATATTTACAAAGATATTCCTTACAATATGATCACAATTAATTAGTATAGGTGAAATAATTCAAATATAAATAGATTATTAAATCCTTGATTTATATAACCAAGTTTGGTCTAATTCTTATGACATTTTTACAATACCAGGTAATTTATTCTTAATAAAAGTGTACATGTTATATGATTTTTATTAGCTACTAGCTAGACGAAAATATTTTAGGACGTCGCCTTATATTATTTACCAGTTAAGATGTTACTTTTAATTCAAATTGTCATGTATATTAATACATTATTGTTGATGGACGTAATTAATTAAGCCATGTGCAAAAATGAAACTTATAATTGATTGGTGGACATTCAATAGTAAGACCTGTCCTACCTTTGGAATTAGAAAACCTTCCCTCCATCTAAACTTTTTTGTCAAAAAACCATAGAAATAAAAAAATCACGTGCATATTTTCTTCATATATATATAGATGAAGCTTTGAGTTCACATTATCCTGAATAGATTGAATTTTATTATTAATGAAATTCACATATATACTTCGCTTTCACACTTAACGACTTCAACACATAAATATCTTCCTTGGCTTATAATCAGAAGCTAATCTTTCAACCATGCACAACCACTATTGTAGGAATTGGGTAATGGCATGTGTCATCCATGTTGAGAAGGGAATGAACTGTGTGGAGGGGAATCCAATTACAATAATGGTCATGGAAAGTACTTAACGTTGACAACAATGGAGGCAGTAGTTGTGTAGCCAATTCTGGCAATGTTGCTTTGTTGAAAAAGCTTGCATTTATTAGATCTGTGATTGCGAATCACTGAATCCCCTAGTGCATCACAAACAATAAAGTTAATGAAGTTGATTTTTTGATTAGTTAAATTAACTTTTTTTTATAGCACAAAAGAAGATAATTATAGATTTAAACTCCTTCAATGATGCTACTGAATAATGATATAAAATAAATTCACGCTTAGCATTAAAATTAAACTCTGATGCTTTTTTGTTTTGTTTCATTTACTAATGTTTTTAACATGCTACCTTGTGAACATACAAATCAACTGAGTAAAAATCATCACAAGAGACAACTAACTGTCTTTCTTTTTATTCATACCTAACATAATATTGATGTTGGCAATATTTGGTAGTTGTTATTATATAGCACCATCATTTTATTTTAATTTTTTTGGGGGGACAAGGATTTGTGGAGAATCTTCTCAAACTAGATACCTTCCTACTAGGGCACACGGTTGATTGTCCAATTGTGGGTGTAACGGCCAACGGAGTCTACAAGAAGTAGTAGTTGTTGCCCACTTGAAACCCTGCTATATAGTTGATAGCTAAATCCTTAAGAACTAAAGTGACTGAGTCTGATGATGTTGCCTGCATTGTTATTATCAACTTCAACTTAATAAGATATTCACTTATTCACCCAATCTCTGTATGCCCCATCTTATATTCAAAATTGATATCCTTTGTCTTAATGCTCCATTGTCCTAGAAAACTTCGTTTGCAGTGTATGTGTATCCCTCCGACCCTGAGATCACCAATACGTGGGCCATACCTCTTTGAAATTCGAAGAAGAAAAAAAGTTATTTGTTTTATTTGGGACAGCAGTTGCTGAATAGTTGACTGTCTCCTACGGCAACTATAAAAATGGATAGTAATAATTGGAAAATATTTTCGGTGTTACAAGAATACCAACAATTAGATAGTCCTTTTCTGGAAATGAAAAAAAATTCTTCCACTTTACTCATTTATATTTTTATTTAAATCCCAAATCTTTTAAAAAAATAACCCAGTGCTTAATGATCCTGAACTACTGAAAATTTTATAGTAATAGGTTATGAAGCACCGACACTTTAAAAACTCTGACGTGTTGTGTCCGACACTGTGACACTCTCCGACACTCCAACACGCGTTATAGAAATTCAAAAAAAGGTTCAAAAGTTGATTTACATTGAGTTTTTAGTTCTAACTATTAGATTCGTTGGATTACGATTATCATTTTATTGAATTTAATATAAATATTTGGGATATGTTATGTTTCTTTGTAAAATTTATGAATATTATAAGTTTAGAATTACTTTTTTGTTAAATTATTGAATATTAAATATAATATACACTACATAAATTAAAAATATTATTTAATATCAAAACGTGTCCTAACGTGTCGAAATCTAACATTTTTTAGAATTAACGTATCAGAGTGTCGTGTCACGTGTCGATATCTGTACTACATAGGAAATAGGTGACCATTTTTTGTTTTTGCATAGTGAAAGCTAGCCACTATTTACATTACTAGGGCCCTTTATTAAATAGGACGGATATTTTTATATCAGTATAAGAATTGTCATTAATTTATTTGTATCCATCAATTCATGTAATTATAAAATTAAAGCAGCTAAATATATCTTACACCTGTCTAAGATATTCTTCATCCCATTTAAATACATCTTGTTTCACTTGAACTTGTCAGACTACAATAATGACATTTATAATGTTATTGACTGTTGCAGCCCTCAGTTTTCGTAGTAGCACTACTTTGTTTAAGAACTCCCATCTTTTGACATAGTAAAAGAGTCGGCAAGGAGAGGAATAATTGATTTTCGGTTAAAGCTCACGTTAAGAAGTTAGAGAAACTTTAATATTGAATCAAGAAACAAAGACAATGTCTAGGATAATATTCCCTGATAGAAATTCATGAGTTACATTACATCATCCCATAATTGGATGAGGGATTCTCCCTCAATATCTTAAAGAAATCAACCAGGATAGAAAAATTCAGTCAAGTGCAAGTTAACGAAAATATTACCCCCTTAGTTCATTTCATCAAAGCGATTATTCAGATGTAGAACATAATAGTTATTATTTTATAAAATATTTTTCTGAACCAAATGAGGAATATTTTTGTTAACTTGCACATAAATAGAATTATTCCTAAGGAAATTCAGCAACTATACAACAAATGAAATACTAGTGCTACTAAAATCTGCAAGAATAGTTAGCCTCTTTGTTCTTAAGCCATACATAATGTGTTAACGTTTTCGGTTCCAAGATCAGACTTGTGTTGATCCTTGTACCAGGGAGACCCTCCATCAGAAGAATTATCAACTGAACTATTTTGATTCAAAGCAGAACCTATGCCATCAGAAGCATTTGATGTCTTCAGGGAAGTCCCTTCAGATACACTATTAGCAGTTGTACTAGCAGAGCAATTGTTTGAACTCTTCTGCTCAGTGCGAATGAGTTTTCCAAATAACAAGATGTGGGGTCCTTTAGCTTCATTGGATTCCTTGAAACTCAGGCCAGGATTTCCCACAGTCAACAAGCAAGATATATCAACATTGTTCTTAGTGCTGCTATTGTAGGTTCCACAAGGAGGCCTAACAGTAACAGGTTGGGCTTCATGTTCCTCAAGCCTTGAGAACCCACCAAAAAGCATGTCTGGTTGCAGCTTGTTGAAGGGAAGATCAGATGGAGTTAGTCCTAATTGAGCATGCCTGGCTCCCTGTATGCCTGCAGAACTATCATTGTCTTGAATGTTACATAGAGAGTTAGTATAATTGTGAAGATTGCTGGAGAATGATGGCATAGGAATTTGGTTTATGAGGTGAAAATATGGGTCCTGTAGAAACCGTTGTTTCTTTCTTGGAGGTGAGAATGGAGAGAGATGGAAAGAGGGTATGGTTGAGACTAGTTCAACCAACCAAGGGTTTACACACTTGACATTTTGAAGCAAATCTGGTTCATCCCACACCACCTGAAACATGATATCACAGAGAAGATATTTAGAACAATCTAGATATATTATTTTAAGCAAACTTGAAGCCAAATAGGCACCAACTAAAAAAATTTAAGAAAAAATATGCAGCCATAGTACTGCTAAAAGGTTCTTTGACCTTCCATAATCAAAATTCAATCAAGAGTCCCACTCAATAACTCTGTCAAGAACAGTACCCAATTCAAGCAACTTAGGTACTTAGCAGGCACAATTGTCAGCACTAAACAGACACTTGAAATGATGCTTTGCTACTTTATTGTAGTTCAACAGTTAATACCATTAACCGTTATTCTTTTCATCAAACGAACCCAAAACATTAAAAATTCTATTTATAGCAACAAATATACGGTAAATTTAATTGTTGCTTTATAGCTTATCACCAGAAGTCAATATCATGCAGTAACTATTTATATTTAATAGGGAAGGCCACAAAAAATGAGGAAGATAAACAAAAATTTTGTATCAGAAAAATCATCCCAATCTGACAAACAGTAAACCCTGTTCCATCTTTTTGAAGCATTGAACAATACACTATAAACAAACTATTTAGATGATGGGGAAAAAAAGTGACATAAGAAACCCAAGAAATAGTTAACAATTAAAGTCAAAAGCAGTATTCTGCAGAGAATAAACTTATTAGCCTCTGAACAAAGGGAAGTTGAGGAAGGGAATCTGAATATATTACAATAATAGTTAAAGGAAATCACCAAATAACGAAATTCAAGCTATTGAATCTTGGGGGGCAATAAATGAAAATCTAAACTTGAGTGTGTACCTGCAGAAGACGCCAAGGAGAATCTGGCCAACGAATGGGATCTGCAACCTGAACAGAAGATATGGTTCCCATGAACCAGCTGATCCTAGAAGAATCCTCAGTTTCAAAGGGCATTTTGAATCTCATCCCAGAACACCATTGTGTTTGCATTGCAACCCTCACAGAAGAAGCCTTAACAAAAAACTCAGGGGTGCTAGCCCTTGGGTAGTACACAACCTCAAAAGGCCTGCCATTAACAGCACAAGTTACAGCCTCAACAACAGATTCAGCTGCCACTTTTAACATAAACTCATCACCACCTTTTCTACTAACAAACTTGTTCTCATTCCCACACAAGAAACCAGAACCCCCACCAAACATAGGGGCTATCTGGTTCCAACCAGAAGAGAACTCAATCCCACCACCAATCCCCTTCTTAGCCCTCCTTATCCCAACACAAAGATCTCCATTATCTGCCCTCAGAAACACAATAGAATCCCCAGCAACAAGCTTCTTCTGGTTCACAAAATTGCTCCATCCAGTGGTCAAAAGATGCCTCCTCGGTGTCCCTCTATAGATATGCCTAAACTTCCAGCACTGTCCATGCACATCCTTAGCAATGATGGTTTGGATTGGAGGTTCTGCAGAATAATCCAACTTTGGGAAGATTGTCTCTGCACAGTAACGAGGCACAGAGAAGCCTCCTCCATTGTTGGCATCAGATTGTGTCAGTGTCTTGGAAAAGGAGGTAGGTTTTTCTTGACCCTCCGTTCCACTGTTCCCCATGAAACAATCATCTTCAAAATCCAATTCATGTTCTCTCAAAGGGGTCAACCTCATTTTCACGTAGACCTCATCTGTGTCAGGGTCAGCAAGGTATTTCATAGCAGAGACCCTGCAAGGGATGAGTGGTGGAACACGGTTTTGTCCAAAATCTACTTTCCCATGGGCGTGCTCAGCGTGGCCCTGAGGAAAGTAGAAGACTTTTGTGTTGAGAGGTGGCATTTGAACCATGGCACCAGCACAGGCATGCCATAGTTGAGAATCTAAGCACCTTTCTGTGCTCTTCTCCATGGAATCCATAACCACAAACATCTCAATGTAAGAAGAAGAAAAAACCTTGCTTTTCTGATTCTTAAAATTGATGAACCACAACAGGTGAATTTTGAGATAACCCAGAAAAGATTTGAAGGAAATGAGGTATCTTTTTGTGGTGAAGCCAAATAGAAAGGATAGAATTGCAAAAGGAGAAAAGGGTTAATTGCCGGGTATCAATGAGAGAAGAAGAAGAAGAAGAAGGTGATCAGAATGTGATGGTTGTACAGAGAAAAAGAAGAAGAAGAAGAAGTTACAAAGAGGGGAAAGTGAGAGTGTTGATTGGTGGATGAGAAAAAGGGGAGAGAGTGAGAGTGATGTGGAAGACAAATGAAGATTTGGTGAGTGCGAGAGAGAGAGAGAGAGAGAGAGAGAGAGAGAGTTCCAAGTTTTAAGCACATAAAGACACACACTGTTCTCTCTCACGCGTCTAAGGTTCTCTGTCTTGCCGACCAGAATGTGAATTTGACAGACATCAACAAACTCAAAATCAACATTACAGTTCACAAGACACATAATTTTGAAATAAATTAATTAAAGTGATTAATATTTTTCATGTTTTATACACATATAAAATTGTTGCCTTCATATGGGTCATGGCACATGTGAATAGAAAAAGAAAAAATGAAAAAATTGAGTCTCACCCTTTTATATTATGTGGAATAAAATTATTTTTAATAATATAAAAAATATTAACCCCTTAATTAATATATCGTAAATTTTATTCACCAAAAAAATATATCTTTAATTTTTATAGAAAGAGCTTATAGTTACAATTTTTTTCCTTATCATCTTATTATTTGATAAAAAAAAATGGTTACAAATTGATAGAGTCGGTGTAAATAGAAATGTTTGTAAAAATATAATAAGGAATTTTCCTTATTTTTATTTATTATTATTATCAAATTGTTTATTATCTTCTAATTTAAATTAAAAAAATTTATATATATATATATATATATATATATTATTCATATAGATTGAATAATAATATAAATTAATTTTATGGGTTAAGTAAATATCCTTTTAAAGGACACAACTGGTCTCATTTTAGTAGCTTTACACTATATTTGATCAGTAACACATAGTTATAATACGAAAATTTTATTTTTTTCACTTTTCACAGTGACTGAAGAGAAAATAAAATAATTTTTCGTAGAATAATTATGTTTTACGGATAAGACATAGTATAAACTGACTAGAATGACACAAATTATGTCTTTTAAAAGGACTATATTTAATACCATTATAAAAAATATTGAAATAATTTATTCAAAAAATAAAAAAAAATACTAAATTGGGTACAAACCAAAAATCTCTAGTAAATTTCATCGCAATTTTTTATTTTTTTTTTAATAAAAACAGATTGATAACTCGCGGTGTTACTCAAGAATACGTCAAGATAGTACATAAACTTTTAGAACTTGATGATTGCAAGTTGTGAAATTTTAAAATTATTACACTAAAGTTGGTGTGAATAATTTTTTTTAACAGCTATAGCATATTTTACATTCAAATCGTTAAAACATAGTAAATTAGTATTATTTAATTTATACAAACCGAGTATTATTTAATTTCATCGAACCCTTGTTTTTGTTATGATTTTTTTTTTTTTTCATTTTTAGTTTTGTCGTTGACATTGTTTTGGAAATATCATGCTTACGTTCCAGCAATTACTAACAAATAAAATAACACATCAAACATTAAACAGAAAAAAAAAAAATACAACTTGGAACTTCGATTGTATAATAAATAATGATGCACTTGCTTATTTTGTGAAGTACAGATAACTACAAGGATGGAATAATAAATCACACGCTCCTACCACGAAAAGAAACCACGTGCAAATGTAATTAACATATAAATTTAAGTTCCAAATGTTAATATTAGTACTTATATTTAATGGTAACACTTATCAAAGAATAGGAGAAACTTACAATTTGCAATAAAGAGTAATTATGAGGTCAAAAGGGACGCACCTCCTCCCACGGGACACGAGAAAACTATATTACAGCATGTCAGCAAACATCAGAGAACAGAAACATCCGAGAAGTTGTGTACTTACATTTAATATTACCAAGGCGATTGATTACATAATGCTGATTAAAACGTAAGCTTTCTAACAAGTGTCTTAAGGTATTAGTTGAAAAATCAAAAATCAAAATATTAAATAAAACAAGCATTATTTAAAGAAAAATAGTTGTCCTAATTTTAAAGATGATCATTTTAGTTAAAATTGATGCTTTTTATATAAAATTTAAATTAAAAAAATCACTCACTTTCTTTCTTATGATTTTCATTACGTATTTTTTTCTCTCACTTAAAATGACATAATTTTATATATTTTTTGAAGAACAAACACCAATCCTTATTTAACATATTAAAAAATTTATTTATTTTTTCATATTTTTCTATCTAAGGATACAAATTTTAAGAGTTTTGTTATATCTTTATAAAAAAAAATTTAATAATTTTCTTACAACATAATAAAATAAAGAATAATATTTGTCCTTTTAAAGTATATAAAATTATATTATTTTAATTAAAATTAGAGTGTTTTATGATAAGAAAAACAGTTACATGATAGAAATTAATAAATTATTATGGGAGAAAGTGAGATATTTTTTTAATTTAAATATTAAATAATAATAATAATTTTAACTAAAATGACTGTGGTACATATTTTTGCCAAAGAAAAATCAAATGAAAAAATGAAAACATAAAAAGTACTAAATGCTTCTTGACTTAGTACTTAGGTAAATTATTAAAAAATGATTTAAAAGAATTTTAAATTATTCATATCCTTAAAAAAAATACCCCGCTCAATTTTTTATTATTATTTTTTTTTTTTGGAGTTACCCAATCCTAATTATCTCTTTGAGACGAGTTGGCTCCCTCCGGTATCCCCACGAGCTTCGACTCTTTGAGCCGGCTATGGGACTAATCCGGAGTACGGGGGAACAGTGATGGCTAAAGGTTCAGTCCCCTCCCCAAGAATCCATTCAGCGGGAATCGAACACATATCTAACCCCATTAACTCAGCCCTAATTACTTTTTGTATCTTATCTCGTAAAGCATTAATTAATATTTTTTGAATTTTAAAAAATCATTAGAGTAATGATAATATTTTAATAAAAAATAATTAAATTAAATGCAGGTATATATTTTTGTTCATATCTAGTTAAAATTATCATTAAAAACCGGAGGAAATATCTAGAGATATGGAAAACACCCTTGTTTTGATGAGGCAGTGCTGAAATTAAGGCGAGTCAAAAGTGATGCATTAACCATAGTCAACTTCATGGTGCCCGAGGCTCTCACTCTTTGGCCCTAAGCATGATTTGGGGAAACCCATAAGATGAGGAGCGTGACAAGACTTAATTAACATGGAAAATAGTCAACACCACTGCTAGGTTGTCGCACTTGTGATTTTTTTAGTACAAGACAAGTTCATATTATAATAATATATATATGTAGGGATAAGATGACAATAGATTATATAATTACACACTTATACATTAATATGATTGAATAAGTTCTGAATATTATTTTCATTTTATTCATAAATCTAATAAGCTAATTATAAAACATACAAGTATGATTGAATCAGATGTTATGTATGATATTTTCTTATATGGTGTTTGGTTGAGAGCTTTTCAGCGGATATCTATGTTTCTCAAGTATGGCTTTTAAAAACACCATGTTTGTTTCAACGTATTTTTACCAAAAATCCATCTATCCAATTTGTATGGATTTATGAGAAACATAGATATCCGCACTGTTTATAAACCCAATTTGAAGGTGGAATTTTTCGAAAAACCGGTTATCTGACTTTTAATGCACTGTTGATTTCATAAAGTTACCTAATTTTCCCAGTAAAGTTTTTTCCCACCAAACAATTTTTTTTTACATTTTTCTACCTATCTCACTTTATCTATCTTTCCAATCATTTCTTTATCTATAATATTTTTCTACTATTCCAAAAAAATTTCTTCAACCAAACGCTTCCTTAATGATCACCGAATAGGAAAATAAGTATAACCCTTTGTGTGAACTTTATCAATCGGCCAATGAGCTGGATTTTGTGTAGCAGGTCCAAAATAAATTATTTTTTTCACTTTTTTTATTATTTTGATTTTATAATTTTTTTTGTTTTCAAACTTAAAATTTAAAGATGCATCTAATGTGTTCGTTATTCTTAACGATAATAAATCGATAAACAAGTTTTAACAGCTGGATATTCTATCATTTTTAAAAGTTAGTGCTGTGAGATTTATAAAATGAAAATGGGTTAAAAAATATCTAAACTACAGATTCAGGTTACTAACCATGAATTGCAGGCATTAATTATACTGATTTTGATGTTTGTAGATTACGGTACTAAAAATGAGGTACAGTATGAGGACGTTGAAAGCCTACAATGTTCGTAAGACACACCAACTACAGTTGCTTGGAGAAGAGACAAAATGTATACGGTTTGTAACTCGAGTGGGTCTGGTTATAAAGACAACGATGCTGCTTTGTTTCCCCCAAAAAAAAGTGGGAAAAAAGGGACAATGCTTTTTTTAATAGTGGAACTTGTTTAAGATATCATGGGAAAATGTAGGCAGGCTATGCTCAATTTGTAAAAGTGGCATGTTATTAGCTATGTAAATAAATTAGGTTAGGATTTCACTCAAATAAGTTAGATTTGTGTTAAAAATATTAGGTCGGATATGACATGTTAGTTTATGTAGACGCTAAATTACAAACATGGTCTGATCTATATGTAAAAAATAAAAGTCTTAATCTAGACCTGTTAGCCTGTTTAAGCTTATTAAACAAGAGTTTTATTAATCTCATATTAAAGGAGATAAGTTATCTCATGTCATAAAGACAAACTTGTGAGCTCCATCACTTGAAAAAAAAAAATGACACAGTTATCGAAGGATATGTAGGAAGAAAAATTTATATCATGTAACATGAGAATAGTTTTTCCCATTAAACATTCAATAATTAAA